GTTTTCTTCTTCTGACAGTCTCGTAGTCATGCGATTTGAACGGGATGAAGGGACGCGTGAGACCGTTCAGACATTCCATCGGCGCTTTTGAAAAAAAACTGACAACGCCACCAACCAACTTTTTTAAAAAATAAAGAATCGCCGAAAAAAAGGCCTGTGTTCGAACCTGGGTGTCGCGTTAATATTTCGTGTCGTGCTCGGAGGTGTCAAGGCATGGCCAGGGGACCCCTCCCGGTTGCCATCCCGCGGCCCGGTCCGCGTGCCGCAGGACTGCGGGACCCGGTCGAGGCCACGTGACGTCACGGCCCGGAATTTGCATGCAACAATGAGATACATTCTAACTGCGGCTCGCCGCGGCGCGGCACGGCACGGCGCGGTGGCTCGCGTGTGTTCCGGTCGGGATGCGGCCCTCATTTAGCGCGGAATCTCACGCGCAGGGCACGGCGCGGCACGATATGCCACGGCAAGGACAGGGCAGGGAAGTCCACAGTCCAGGGAGAAGTTCTTCGTGTGACTAGGTGTGACTGTCAGTTGTCGGTTGCTTGGCGGTTCGCTTTGGGCGTCGATTGGGCTTACCTGGGGGTGAATGGCGTCAGAAGGTGGTTGACAGTGTAATCCGAGTAATCCACAATGCACTGGCACTCACGGCACTGTCGGTCACTACCACAGACACGCGCACGCACTGACAGCGAGCGGCACCTGGCACTCTCACATCGCGGACCCTCCGACGCGTACCTGGGTCCGGGCAAACCCCTGAGGTGAGGGCAGCAACATCGTGCAGGCCCACGGCGCAGGCCCTTACCGGTGGGCGTCCTCGTCGTCGTGGACCTCGACGCCGTGCGCCCCTTCGTCGCGAACGTGCACATCGCGGACGTGCCCGGCGCGGACGTCCGACCGGCGCGACGGCGGCAGTTCGACTTGCGGCCCTCCAGCAGCGCCGCGCCGGGAGAGAGCGCGCCCCGCCGCCCCGCCCCGCCGCCCCGCCCCGCCGCGCCGCGAAGCAGCTGGTGCCCCCTCCGCCGCCGCGCACCCCACCCCGCCCCGCCGCGCCGCCACGCCGGTCGCCGCTACAACAAAGTACCTCTTGGTCCTGTCCGCCCTGGCCGGGCCGGGCCGGCCGGCCGGCCGCCGCGATCATAACACTGTTGTTCAAGTGTTTTGCGGCAAAGGAGTGGGGACGGACCGCATGCGCGTCCTCCAAATAGGCTATATTTCACTGGCACAGGAGTCATCCGACTTAATTCCTCAATCACCACACACACGGACACACACAGCTGCAACTTTGTTGCACACCGCCGCTGGCCGCGAGCGGCACGCGGCGCGGGCAGGGCCTCGCCGCCGAGGGTACTCCCGTCGTCGGCGTCCTCGCGAGCTCTCGGGGTCCGCGACGGCCATCGCGGACTTCGCGGCCACCACGGCGACGTGCGGGGGCGGATCCAGAAGGAGAGGGGGCGGGAAGGATGCTACCTGATTCGCCGCTGCGTGCCTCGCACTCACGTGGCCGTTCTTCAGGGGTGCGACAGAGACAAATAAAAAGCCGAGAGCGTTGTTCGGAATGAGACTGCGCAGGGCGGCGCAGGGGATGGGGAATGACTCATGTCGTGACAGGTTCGGTTTCGTCCGTTCGTCCCCACGCTAACAACGGACAACAATGTATCTCACCGCCGCCCGGCCCGGCCGGCCCGCCACCCCCAGAAGTACGACGGCCTGGTTGCGGGACGGGCAGGCAGGGCCGCCGACGGGACGCCCCCCTCCCCTGTGCCGATGGCCGGCCGCGGCACGCGCGAATGTAGGGGCGGACGCAGTGAAGGGGGGAGGGCTCTGAATGTGCGTCTACATTGTATTTCGTGGCTTGTGCCCCTCCCCTCCCCTCCCTCTCCCCACCCTCGCCTGGACAGCATTGCCGAAAGTCTGGCCGGTGCCGGGCGCTCCGAACGCTCGAGCCAAGGTCACTTTGATGACTTTGTTTCACCTTTCCGGTATTGTTCGTCCTGTTTTGAGAGAACAGGGGGAGCACGCCAAACTTTCCTGGCGGACCGGGATCTTGGTCAGATTGGTTACAATTCTTCTAATCCAACTTGCACAGCAACAGGCCGTTCTGTAGCTCCAGGGCGGTACCAGACCTGAGGGGGGCATTGGAACATTCCCCCCCCCCTTTTCCCGCAGCCACGACCGTGTGTGCAGGCGAGAGGAGTGCTGACGTTAGAAAAAAATGTTCAAAAACTAAAATGTTTCCGTTTTGCCTCCATGCCACTTTTTGTTCGAGTTCCGTGAGCGCTCTGCGCCGCTCTGCCTGGGAGTGTACCAGTGTAGCACACCATCAGGCTTGCGTTTGCATTTCAGGAAACGCCATCATCCGCAGGTCGCCGCTGTGACGTCCAAATAACTAACATTGTTGCATCGTGCTTGTTGTGGCAAAGACTGCAAACCCGTAAAAAAAGGAGGAGGGAGGGAGGGAGAAAGAGCATGGAGAGAGAGAGAGAGAGAGAGAGAGAGAGAGAGAGAGAGAGAGAGCGGGAAAAAAAGATGGGACCACTCCACTCGGTCCGTCTGTGGTGGCGAAGTCGAGTCCGGGGCCCGTAAAATTTGGAGCAAAGAGGGAAGAATGCTGGCCAGCCTGAGGGAGGTGTGACAACGGCCGAAAGAAAAAACTCTGCGTGAAAATAAAGAGGACGAGAAAACGCTGTCCTTCCGAAATGGACCTAGGCCGAGGGGCACGGAGAAACCTACACACACTCGACACAGGAAAACGAGACGCCTTTTATTTTCCAGTGTGCTATGCAAATTAAAATAAATGCTCGCGATGGACCGACTCGTTGAGAGGAGTGAGGGGGAGGGGGAAGTCCGAAGCGGCCAACGCCGAATGACGCAGACAAACACGAACGGCCTTTACAATGTTATGAATCGCACTGCTTCGCCCTGCTTCGCATTGCATCGCCACTGCAATGAAACGCAACGGGCAGGCGGGGCGGGGCGGGGCGGGGCGGGGCCCAAGGAGGCGGCAACACGCCACCGCAAAAGCAGCAAAGCGGCACGGCCGGCACGGCACTGCAAAGGTGCCAAACTAGCCGCTTTACGGCACGTCGTCGACGACAAGGCCCGAGTCGCAATCTGATACACTTTTACCTTTCGCCCTTCTTTATTCGGCCGCGGATGACATTTTGACGCTCTCCCTCACGCGGACGGAGAGAGAGAGAGAGAGAGAGAGAGAGGGGGGGGGGGGTGCGTTCGGGAGGACGAGATATGGCAACAGGAAAACCAGCAGCCGCGAGAGTCTGTTCGCCTGTCCCAACAAAGTTGTTCACGATGGAGGTAGGAAGGGCGTGCAGGGGCAGCGGGGCAGCGCGGAGCAGCAGACGTACTGACAGGATCTCTCCCCGGCCAGCAGACTGACGCCGAGAGTCACCCCGTCTCTCTCGCACTCGTGGGGCGCCTCGTATGGGGGCGACAGAGAGACGAAAACGACTCTCGGAATCAGTGTGCAGCACGGCGAGGCGGCAGCGCGGCCACGGAGCGGCGCAGCAGTCTCCGCCATGCTCCGCGCGCCGCCGCGGCCGCCGCGCCGCCCGGGCAACATAGTCACAGTTTCAACACGGCGGTAGTGGGCACGGCACGGCGTGGCGTGGCGTGGCCGGGCGTAGCATCGCACATAAGGGTATAATAAGCGAACGGTTCGCGATGGCAACTGCAACATTCTGGTGGCGCCGCGTGGCCGCGGCGCGGCGGCCCCGGCGCCGCGCCAAGTGTTCTTTGAAAGGTAACTTTGTATCGGCCGCGCCGCGCCGTGTCGAGCCGCGCCGCGCCGCGCCGCGCCGGGCCTGAAAGCTGTTATCAGAGCCGACTGCAACACCGCCACCTGGTCGCGCGGAGCCAGTCGGCCAGCCGGACAGTCGGCCGGCCAGACCGACTGTTTGACTGCGGAGTGGTCGTTGCAAAGTCAAAGTCAAGCAGGAGAGGAGAGCGAGCGAGCCGCGACAATGCAGGGCCGACGCCAGGCCGACGCCACGCGCGGGGTCACGCCCCGTCACGCCCCGTCACGCCACGCCCGGCTGCTACTTTGTTTGAGGCAGGCGGGCGATGGCGATAGCGGCGGGGCGAACGGGAAAGAACCAGTTAAAGAAAGAAACCCAAAAAGAAACCTTAAAACAGATAATAAAAACGAAACAGGAGTACATTATCTTCCGACTGAAGACACGACGTCTCAAAATTAACGTCCCGTCAAGCAAAAACCCATATGGAAATTTGAACATTCGAAAGGTCATAACTTTTGGTAGTAGTCCCACTGTTGTTTGTGAATTTACTGAGGAAATTCATCCGTTGGTCAAGTTCCCAGCAGACTGCCACCATACAGGCCGGGGTCGGGGGCAGGTGGTTGGGCAGGGCCAGCCGGGCTGGCGGGGTGCAGCAGGTCCCTTGGAGACTGAGACTGAATCCATTTCCTGTCGTCATCGAGTCCACAATGCAGGTGGGGATGGGCTCTCCGACTGGCCCGCCGGGCCCTGCCCCTCCCGGCCCCGCCGCGCCCCGCCCCGCCACTCGGTTCAGATTTACGCGCGTTTTTAAAGCTCGCTCTCATATTCTGGTTGTGCGCGGTCACTTACAATGTTGGCTGCTACCCGGCCGCGCACCGCACCGCGCCGCACTCTCCGCGCTAACGCACGCAACATAGTCGCAATTTGGCGCGGAGGAGAGAGGGAGAGAGGGAGAGAGGGAGAGAGAGAGAGAGAGAGAGAGCAGAAGTGGAGGGAGACAGCGGCACAAAGCGCCTGCGAGGTGGGCCACCGAGACATCCGAGTCTTGCAGTGTTGCCTACCCTCTCCGCCGCAGGCGCCGTCCAAGCCGCCGTGGACGGGATACCTAAATCGGATCGTCCCTACGCCGCGACGGAGCAACCACACTAGCAGTGCGCCGTCACCGCTAGAGTTTTGGGCGCCTCCACCGGTCTTCTGGCCCACTGTGCGACGCGGCCTTATGTGAATGTTCGGCCCGTCTCTGCGCAGGAGCCCGTGTCCATCGAGTGCCTGCCCGAGGAGCTGCTGCTGCACGTGTTCTCGCTGCTGCCGCTCGAGGACCTGGTGTGCCGGGCGGCCAGGGTGTGCGTCGACTGGCGGCGCCTGGCGTACGACGACTCGCTGTGGGCCGACGCCGAGCTGCGCTACACCCGGGACACGCAGGTACCACCGTGCGGCGATACCCCGCGCTGCGCCGACTTTGCGTCTTCGAGCGCGGCGTATTGACGGTCGGCTGGGCCGGGCGGGCGCCGGTATACTGTCAGCGCCTTAGCAGCGCCGCTTATTTCAAGCCCGCTGAAAAAAAATACTCAAAATGACGCAAAATGGCACCGAAAACACCGAGGGGTCAACCACTCTGGTAATCATGTGTTTTTTGCGGGTTTTTTGAAGCGGTTTTTCATCGTTGCAGGATGACTTCGTGCAGGTGCTCCTCCGCGCGCCCTCGCTGCGCTACCTGGACTACTCCGGCTACACGTGCGACATGCCCGAACCAGTGGCGGCGGCCCTCTGCAGCGGCGTGCAGCGCGTCCGCGAGCTCTACCTGCAGACCACCAACAAGGTTGGTCATCGACAAAGCGTCCGACCAATCGAAAGAAACCGATAAATCGCAGTCAATTTGACAGATTAAAAATTGCAAAGTGATTTAACAAAACTTGAACCTAAAGCTAAAACTACGGAAAAATACGCTTAATCGAAAATTTGTCAAACCTCTGATTACCGTAATACTAATTGAGGGTTTGAACCGTTCGATTATCGAAAGTAATCTCGGTTACCTTCGATTAGTCGATTAATAGCCCCTCTTCCGCACCGCAGATCGACGGCGCCGTCATCCAGCGGATCCTGCTCCACTTCAAGGACCACCTCCAGACGCTCACGCTGTTCGTCAACTCGAACCTCGCCACCTGCACGCCGAAGACGACCGCGCAGCAGGTGGGCCAACTGCCAGGCAGTTTGGGAGCAAAGTTGGTCAAAAAGTGGTCGAATCTCGGAAATTTGCTGATTTTGCTGACTTTGGGCGGCCACTGTGTCCAATCTAGTCGCCGCAAAAGGCCTCCCTCGACGTCCTAGTACTCTTAAGACCCTACTCTTTCATGCCCTGTATCGGGAGGACGTTGACCACAACGATTTTGGCTTTGACCGCAACGATTTTCCGACCAACTTGGTCAAAAAGTGGTCGAATCTCGTAAATTTGCTGATTTTGCTGACTTTGGGCGGCCACTGCGTCCCATCTAGTCACCGTAAAAGGCCTCCCTCGACGTCCTAGTACTCTTAAGACCCTACTCTTTCATGCCCTGTATCGGGAGGACGTTGACCACAACGATTTTGGCTTTGACCGCAACGATTTTCCGACCAACTTGGTCAAAAAGTGGCGCATCGTAGGTTAGATTCTCTGCGATGGGACTCATGTCGATTGGGGGTCGCAGGGCTCCGACGGCGAGGCGGCTGCCAGCTCGGGCGGGGCGGCCGCCCAGCAGAGCCAGGACCTGGAGTTCCTGTCCGTGGTCGGGCAGCTGGCCGCGCTGCAGACGCTGGTCCTGAAGGGCGCGTGGCGCTGCCTGGCCAAGCACGCCGACGTGGGGCTGGGCTGCCCCGCACTGTGCCGCCTCGACATCAGCGGCCTCAGCACCGACTTCTTCGACGAGCACGAGTGCCCCTTCTTCGTGGCCCTGCTGCGCCACAAGCGCGCCCTGCTGCAGGCCGTCAGCCTCAACGGCTGCTACATCCACCCCAGCCTGCTCATCGAGGTGTCCAAGGTGCGCGTCGTGGACACACACACAGACACACACACCTTCTTCCCCGTATCCGCTTCTGCGTCACATTCGTTCCCTCCCCTGTCACTTCCCATGTCACTCCCCCTGTCACACCCCCAAGGGCCATAGATTGAACCAGCAAAATGACCCCTGCCCCGGGCATGCCCCCAGCTGCAGGCGCTCAAGTCCATCACCACGCCGCTGGCCACGCTGCACGTCATCGAGCACATCGAGAGCCTGGAGTCGCTGCACATCCAGGGCGTGGGGCGCGGCGACGGCGTCACCATCATGCAGGAGGTGGCCGCCTTCATGGCCACCTGCCCGCGCTTCGCCACCATCAAGGAGCTCGTCCTGGAGGACCTGAGCGACTACAGCAACTTCATGGCGCCGGCGCTGGCGGCGAGCTGCGGCAGCCTGGAGACGCTCATCGTGTCGCCGGGGACGTGGCTGGACGCGCACGGCCTGGCCGAGCTGACGCGCAGCCTGCGGTCGCTACGCCACCTGGCGGTGCGCGGCAGCACCACGCTCGGCCTGCGCCACCTGCAGGTCAGTGGCGGATCCAGCGGTCAAAACCCCCCAGGCCCAGAGTCGCTGAGCGGGACTCGAACCAATGGATTCCTCGTTCGGAGAGCAATCCATTGGTGGGGTCACACGCTCGGTTCGAGTCCCATTTAGCGACTCTGGAGCTCAAAACGCGTCTAGAGTTTTGGCCCCCTCCACAAAGTCCTTCTGCAGGTGCTGCCGAGACACGTGCCGGGGCTGCAGCTGCTCGACGTGCGGGGCTGCTTCCGCGGCCAGGGCGTGCCGCCGCGAGTGCTGCGCCGCCTGCGCAGGGGACTGCCCTGCCTGCGTGTCCGCTGCGACCCCTACAGGTGGGGCCGCGTGACGTCACCATAAGTCTCAAAGTCGGGAAGTTGTTTCCTACTGAAACTCGACCTACTTTCACCGAAACACTTATCTTCACCGCCACAGGCCCTCGTCGAGCGGCGCCCCCGACCCCGGCGCCCACGTCTTCCACGCCTCGCAGGTGGCCGACGACCTCTCCAGCACCGACCCCAGCTCCGACGAGGACGACGCCAAGGGCTGAACCGCTGGAGTGGCTGGAGTGGAGCCACGCGCCGTGAATCTTACTGTGATGTGGATGAAGGAAGGGGGAGAAGGGGAGGGGAAGGGGAGGGGGGATGCGACTGATAGTGCTAATGACTTCATGGTGCCTATGACGTCTACAATTTGTGTGTATTCCTTTCGGCTGAGCTGCAGCCACAGGGTATGTGAAATTGAATGTCTTAAGTAACGAGTTGTAATAAGAGATGTGATAAAACGTTTTAGAAACAGGGTTTTCTTCGTACTTTCCCCAAATAGAACTCTGCGGTGCGTGTCGTGTCGGCCGCATCCGCTGCCGCTGTTCGTCTTCGTCGGAACGCGACGCGCAACGCGACGCAACGCGACGGGACGCCTTTTTGCATCACACCGATTCCTCGCATCGCGTCCGTCGCTCCGTCTTCGTCGCACTCGCTGCACTCGCGCGGCGTGCCGCGAGGGCGCGAGAGAGACAGAGCGACGACACCCTGCTGGGAATGAGCGCGCCCGGCGCCGCCGCTCTCCGCGCCAGTGACTCTCAGTGTAGTGCCTCTCGCGCACCGGGCCCCTGCAGGCCCCGACAGCACCGGGCGTGCGCGCTGGCACCGCGCTGCACGCCGCGCAAGGTCAGGTAGGTCGGGGCGAGCCACCGGTGTCTTCATCAAACACACTTGTGTCGATGTGCCCGGCCGAGCCGCTGGCCTGCCGCCTGCCTGCCGCCCCGGACCGCCCAGTGCACTGTCTCGCCGCGCCGCGCCGGCACGCCCATGACCGGGACCGCCGCCGTCCGCGCCGCCGCATTTCTCATCCTGCAGACTGAGTCCTTTTCCTCGCAGTGTGTCTCTCGCGCACTCACGGGGCGCCCCGTGTAGGTGCGAGAGCGACAGCGCGACGACGCGATCCTTCGGCGGCAGGCGGATGGTGATGCTGCCGTTGTCGCGGTGCTCGCCGTGACCTTATCGCGCTGATTAATCGTTATCACGGAGCCGCGCCGCGGTCGAGGACGCCGCCGTGGTCGCGGACGCCACGCCGCCGTGCCGGTCGCGGCCATGTGCGCGGCGGCCTCGGCGCCAGCCAGTGCGCGCGCCGCCACGGCCGCGTGAGGGCCGCGAGGGCCGCAACGCCCTCCAAGAAGGGCCCCGCGAGGACGCCGTCGGCCCCAGGACGGGCCGCCCGGCGAAGGGCCCCAGAGGAAGCACAGCCACTCACCCGCAGAAACCTCTACGCACCGGCCATGGGACCACACACAGGTACGCGTCCTGGACAAGTCTGCAAAGAGTCATGGTTGTTGTTGTTGTTGTTTGTTGTCATTGTTCTTGTTGCTGCTGCTGCTTTGAGTAGCAGTAACTGCAAGCAAATCTTTGCATCCTGGTTATTTTGACTGCCGTGTTTCTCGGTTGCCATTTCGCCGGCACGTACAGGGTCAGGGTCCGCCGCGCCGGCGAAAGGGTAGCAGTTGACCTTCGCGAAAGGGATGCAGTGAAAATGTCAGATACCGTCAGAGCCAAGGACCTCCCTTAATAGTTGAGTTTGCTCCCTCGTCTTGAAAGCCGGCACGCACGCACACAGGCCAAGTTCCTCACATTAGCATCTGCAAATGCAGTTCTCCTAGGCTCTGTCTCTCTCTCACACCATACATGAGTGCGAGAGAGGCAGAGCGAAGACCGGCCCGCTGTCGAATTCTATCTGTCCGTTTGCCGGGCCGGCCCCGGCCCCGGCAGCCGGCGCGCCGAGGCTGCTCAAGGCCGCCACATGCACACAACGCCGCTTTGCCGCTTTGCGACGCGAGGCGAGGCGAGGCGCACTTAGGCCGTGCACACGGAAGACCACCGAGACGGCCGGGCCGGCCGAAGAGGAGACAAAAATCACCAGGCCCATCAACGCCTGCCTGCGGTGTTGTATGCGTACACTGCGAAAATTTTGCTTTTCACGTGATAACAGTGTCACGGAGAATTTTCCTTACAAGAATGCCACTTTATGACAATTTTAAGGGTACCTTCCGCGGGGGTGCGAGAGAGACGGAGCGACTCTGCTGGTGGGGGAACGCGGCCGACGGAAATAAAAACAGCCGCTGGCGAAAAGCGTCGGCAGAGCGCGGCGGCGCGAGGGAGAGGGAAGAGGGACCGGGAGGAGCTGGCCTAATTTCGGGAGGCGCGCGAAACGAAATGCGAAATTTGCCGGCAGCGGACTGATTCCGAGAGTCGCTTTCGTCGCTCTGTCTCCCTCGCACGCATGGGGCGGCCCGTCGAGGTGCGAGAGAGACAGAGCGACGAAAGCGACTCTCGGAATGAGTCTGCAGTAGGCCAGTCCGCCCGCCGGGCCGCCACTGGCAGTCGCGGCGGGGAAGCGCCACCGGTAGGACGCCTTCCTTCGCGTCCGCGGGGCGCTGGGGCGTCTGGGGCGCGCACCGGGACCACACGTCGCAATGGCGGACAGACAAGGTGGGCCACGGCTTACCCGCTCCGCCTACGCTTCTTTGACTCACTGTAGACGCTCTCCGCCGCCCGCACTCCTCGCCCTGTCCCTCTCGCACTCCTACGGCACACCCCATGAGTGCGAGAGAGACAGAGCTAGGAGTGCGAGCAGTGGAGTCGCCGCCACGGCGCCTTTGTTGAGCTCTGTTGGCGCACTGGCACGCCCCCTGCCGGCCGGCCTGCGCGGCCTGCGCACTGACTTAGCTGACTACCTTCCGCAACGTTCGCGCGCATCGACACCAATAACACAGCTCGCACAGCCTCAGGCCTCAGCAAGCCGCGACAGCCCTAGCCAGGCGGTAGCCGGGCGGTAGTTAGCAGCCTCTTACGGCACTGCCGACGACATAACCAGGACATAACCATAAGCGCAGATCTAGGAGGGGAGAGAGCATCGCCTCCCTCTGAAGCCCCCTGAATGATGGACAAAGAGTCACACTTAGTAGGTGGGCAACTTTTGCGCCTGATCAAAACACCCATGATGATGCACACCGATAACCAACCACCTTAAAACGGGAAATAAAACAGTCGGACCAGGTGGATTGAACTTTTCCAATTCCAAAACGTTTCCAATACAATTAGCAATAAAATCAGACTATACGGCAGTCCAAAATTCCAACAACAAACATTCCGTTCGCTCCCAGTGTTTCTACTTAAGAAGGCAAAAATTGCCAACCCAGCCTGCCAACCCTTTCGTCACTGATACACTGTGTGAATTTTGGCCCATTTCTGGGGCAGCGCGGCCGCTCTCGAAGTCTCAAAACTCGGCCACGAGTGTTCTCTGCTAAGACTCGTTCAGACTCGTCTCACCCGCACCCATTTCCCTTCCAGAGCCGTCCAGAGTGCCGGCCGTGGACGCCGTCGACGGTGACACGTGCCCGTCGTGCCCGGCCGGCGGCTGCACGTCGGCCTGCGCCGGGTCCGCCAGGGCGTACTCGGCGTGCTCCGAGGTGGCGGCGTGCCCGACGTGCCCGCCGGGTGCCTGCGCCCCCGACTGCCAGAACGCGCCGCCCGTGCCGCTGCCGACGTACCGCTGGGAGCTGGTGCGGCGCGACAAGGAAGCCGGCATCTACCCGTGGACGCACATCGTGAAGCCGCCCCTCAAGGAACCGCCCGACAGGTGGGTGTCTGGCGTGGCCGCCGCACAGTGGAGGCGGCCAAAACTCCAGACGCGTTTTGAGCTCCAGAGTCGCTAAATGGGACCGGAACCGAACGTGTGACCCCACCAATGGATCGCTCTCCGAACGAGGAAGCCATTGATGGGGTCACACGTTCGGTTCGAGTACTGTTCAGCGACTCGGAGCTCAAAACGCGTCGAGAGTTTTGGCCGCCTCCACCGGTCTTCTGACAAATCCACTGTGCGGCGCCGTCTTTCTTGTCCTCGGTCTGGAGCGCCTGCGAAGTGGCGGGTAGGCCGCCCGCTGGGCAGGCGCGTGAGGCGCTTGCCTACCCTACCATTACCATTAAGGGCTAGACCACACATGATCGTATGCCATTTCGTAATTGGTGGACGGCCCGTGCCTGGCGCCACAGCCAGGTGGCTTAGTGAACGCCCCGCGACGCGCGGCGCGCAGCGTGCGTGAGAGCGACGAGGACGGCGAGGCCGGCCCGTCATGTCGCTTTGTCATCCCCGCCCTGCGAGCAGTGCGGGGCAGTGCGAGCCCCCCGCCATGCTATGCCATGCCAGGGCGGCCAGGGCGGCCAGGGCGGCCAGGCCACAGGGGTTGGCGCCGTGGTGCCAGGGCGCGGCCGCCAGTCGCCGCCCGGCCGCCCTGGTGCCGCGCCGTCTCGAGGTGCCGCAGCAAAGCCGCACGCTGGTGGGGATGCTGGCCGCGTGAGAGTCCCGGGGAGGCCGCGCCCGCCGACGCCGACGCCGACGCCGCGATGAAGCCGAGCCAGCGCAGCCAGAGCAGCGGGCCGCTGGGCAGGAGGGCGTCGGCGCCGGGCACCGCGGCGCCGCCATCGACGCGCGAGGTCTCCGCCGCGGGGGCACGCCGCTCCGGGTCACGTGACTCGTCGAGCAGCCGCGAGGTGCGGTGCGCGTGCCAGTACTTTCAGAGCGAGAGCCTCCTGCCCGAGCGCATGTCCCTCGTGGGCACGCCCGGCGGCACCAGGCCGCCGTCCCGGGGCTCGGCCGTGGCCAGCTGGCGAGCGAACATGGGGTGAGTAGCGCCCCCACGGCCCCCACCCCCGTACCCCCACCAGCCCAGGCCCGGCCCAGGCCGACGCACCTCCCACCTGCCCGGACCGGACGCCGCGAGCGGCGCCAATGGCTGCTGCACCCGGCGGCTGTCGTTCACTTTCGACGGCTTCAATTAATCAAAAGTTGGAAGCGTCCTCCAAGGCCGTCCTCCGGATGGAGTGATTGCCCACCGGGTGGCGGCAGGAGCTGTGCTTACGTGAAGCGGTACTCCTCGGCCTCCTCCTAGAGCTGCCATCACGTTGACGTCAACGCCGTCGGCGACGTGGCGGGGGCTGGTGGCGATTTGGCGTCCCCGCCAAGCGGCCAGCCGGCTGATTCCGAGAGTCCTTTCCGTCGCTCGGTCTCTCTCGCACTCGCGGGCCGTCTCGTGTCGGTGCGAGAGAGACAGAGCGTCGAAAAGGACTCTCGGACCGCAGGTCGGCCGGCCGCCGCTGCCTCCACCAAGGCGGCGGGGTGTGTTCGCGGCGTTCGCGGCCGCTCTGCATGGCGGCCTGAACGACCGGCGACGCGGCTTCGCGAAAGCACTCCCCCGGTGGTCCGCGGAGCGGTGTTCTCGGTCGCGGACCAGTTGGCCGGATAACCTCGCTGGCCGGTGGTTACGGTGCAGCGGGCGGCAGCGGTCGCCGAAGGACGCGAACCCTGCGCACCCCGCGACGCTGCTTCCGTGACGCCCTGACGCCGATCTCAAGGTCACGCGCTGCACTCTCCCCCGGTGCAAGCGACCGGCCGCGACCGCCGCGCCGCGCTGGGTGCGTTCCAGACAGAGCGCCGCCGTCTGCGTGTCCGCGCGGCCGCCGCTTGTTTTGGCGAGTTTGCGGAGTGCTGACGGGACAAAACGGCAACCGCGGCGAATCGCGCGTCGCGCCGGTCGGTCGGGTTGCTGGGTTGTCGGGTTACCCCGCAGATTTCCAAGTTTCCACGGCGACCGTGTCCGCCGCCGCCACTGGCACCGCCAGGCCGCGGTGCGGGGCGCGGGGTGGGCGTCGTCCGTCGGCCCGCCTCAGTCTGCGATGCGCGATGCGCCCCGGGGCAGCCGCGCCTCCGCCTCCGTCTGCTCCGCCGTCGCGGTCGTGATTTCGGATTGGGGCATGCCGCCACGTATTAGCGCTCGAGGATAGACGGACAGACGGACGGACAGACAGGACGACGGACGGACAGCAGCATGGAGGAGGGAGCGACACCTGCGAGGAAGGCGAAGGGGGGCGGTGGACAGAAGTGAGTACAAGATGGCCTCGGTGGAGGCGAGCAGTTCGTCGCTCTGTCTCTCTCGCACTCATGGGGCGTCGCATACGGGTGCGAGAGAGACAGTGCGACGATAGGGTGGGCGGGGTTCTGCCGAGTTTCCTCCACACCTACGGCAAGGACTTGATGGAGGCAGCCGGCAGTGGAAGGACTCGTCCGACTTGTCGCACTGGTTGATCGCGCCGCGGCCCCGCGCATCGCGCACCCCGGCCCGGCAGCACCGCATGGAGAGGGGCGGGGAGGCGCGGTACCGAAATACTCGGTGCGTCCAAAAGTAGTTCTTGTGGGAGTGAATGACCGCCCCGACCACGCCACTGCACTGCAGGGCACTGCGGCAGGGCGATGGATGCGCCGATCAAACGTAGCAAAGTGGAGCAGGCACGAGCAGCCACCAGGTCCTTCTTTACCTGCAATCTGCCTCATTGAATCAGTCTGTTGCTTTCCCGGCGAGTGTGGGCATTTTCTAAATTTTACATATGCCTGCATTTCCCCGGCAAAAACCGACTTTGACACAACGCAACAGGTGCAGAGCCCCTATAAAATGTCCCCATCCCGGTCGGTCGGTCTGGATTACATACTGTGAGGTCCTCAATTCGACAAGCTTTTCCGCAAAACGCTTCGCGGCGCCGCACCGGCCGGGCCCGGGCACCACCTTGACATCGATTCTGTGCCGCCGGCGCGGCGGTGAGGCAAGCGGTAAGAGGAGCAGCACGGGGGCAGGCTAGCGCAGGACAGGGCCGCCGTTCTGAAGGGCCGCGCGGCGCGGTCTAGTCCGCGGAGACCCTCCGAATGTCTGGGAGACAATTTTAGACCGCGCGACCGAGAGAAAACACACACGCACACACACACACGCTCGCGTACACGCACGCACACGCTCGCACACATGCGCACACGCGCATTCATGGCCACTCGCGTGCGGCTTTGTTGCGTACGCGTGTCTGTGTCAGCACACTGCGTACTGACGCCACTGCTGCCCGGATTCCAACACTACTACTGCCACTACAGTCTTGCTCCCCTTCTGATCGCGATTGGGTTTGAGTCGATGGGGCCTCGTCGACGGATAGGACAGGCAGGGGCTTGCCAGGCTAAAACTGTGAGCGGAAAAAAAGAGGTTGGGGAAGGGGGTTAACCTAGTGATCCATCCGTTCCTGCAGCAGCCTTCCAACCACGTCACGTCAGCTGACTGATTTCAAGATTCGTTTTCGTCGCTCTGTCTCTCTCGCACTCATGGGGCGTGGCGTATAGGTACGAGAGAGACAGAGCGTCGAAAACGGCTCTCTGAATCAGTCTACTGTTACGTCAGTCAAGCTGCCCCACGTCGCCGTCGACCAGGTCTGTGGCGGCGACGTCACGGTGCACTACAACGCCACCACGACCGCCGTTTGCGTCTCTCTCACACTCATGGGGCGTCCCGTAAAGGTGCGAGAGAGACAGAACGACGGGAACAACTCTCAGAATCGGTCACCTGGCGTGCCGTACCCGCGGTGTCCATAGTCCCCCGTCTTCCCACAGCCGTCTTACCGTGCCAAAAAGGAAGCACCCGTGCGTGGGTTCGGTCTAGCCGTCCTGGCCCCGACCACGAACACGAAGAGAGTCATACCGTCGATTTCTAAACAGTACTTGCAGGATATTTCACCACGATGACGGCAGTGGCTGCACGGGTTCAGGGAAGAAGAGAGGGGGATGCAGCAAAAGCTGCCTACTTACAGGGGCAACGTTCGACTTTTTATCTACCTTTCAGGCGGCTTCGCTGACTTCTGGTGCCCCCCCCCCTCCCCCAGTGGGTCGGCCAGCTGTTTACCCCGTGGCCGCGGGCTGGGGCTGACACTTTGGGGCCGGGGTCGGGTCAGTCAGACAAACTCCCCGTTGCTCAGCGCCGCGCCGTCACCGCGCAGCCCCCGCCAGTGTGTGGGCAGGGGCAGTAGCAAAGGGAGGAGACACTAAGTCACTTCGCACTGTCTGCCTCTCGTACTCATGAATCAGTGGGGCGGCGGCGGCTAAACCGCCAGAGAGAGAGAGAGAAAATTACTTGCAATCGAGGAGGTTTAAGCCTCCTCTATTGCAAGTAAACTAAATTTAGAAAATTGCTCTGACTTATTTGAACCCAAGTTTAGTTTTACAAAAGGCTGTATCCATTCCATAACTTTGCATAAAAACAGTTCTTTCATAGGGCCGTTAAATTCCAGAGATGACATTGACATTCACTTAATCGCATTGGTTTTGAACCGTTTCGAACTTATTCAAAATAAGCCTCAATGTCGTGCCAAAAAAATTTTTGGTTCACACGCGGTACTTAAATTGTCCGAAGAAATTTCACCAAAATTTTGAGACCACGCTCCCAAGGAGCTGGACTAGCTACTGGGATCTGATCTGACTGGCCTAGGCCGAGCACTAGGTCGTCTCCGCGCCGGTCGGTACTTCCCGGCGGCGCGCGGCCCCGCCACAGTGGCACACTGACTGAGAGTCGTTTTCGTCGCTCGGTCTCTCTCGCACTCGTGGGGCGTCCCGTATCGGTGCGAGAGAGACAGGGCGACGAGAACGACTCTCGGAATCAGTCCGCTGCCCGCGACCCCGGCCGGCTGGTGGCCGCAATTTTCGGTGTCGGCTCGGTTTATTCTAGTCGCCCGGCCCGACCGGCCCGACGCACTGCGACGCGCGGCGGCGGCGGCGGCGCCACTGTCATGGCGTCCCTTGGCGCTGCCGCTGCGCGCTGCCCGTGGGAGCCGCCGGCCTGCCGAGCCATTCTGAATGGTGTGCCGTCGCTCCGTCTCTCTCGCAGCCCTACGGGACGCCCCGTGAGTGCGGGAGGGAGAGAGAGACGGAACCACCGTTCGGAATCGCCCTGCTGGCGGCCTGGGTCACGGGGCGCTCGAGTGTGCGAGGCTCACGCCGAACTACCTGCACAACCCGCTCCTGGATCCGCGCCTGTCGGTGTCCGCCTGCAGGCACACTGTCTCACCCCGCCCCCTGCCTGCTGTTTGCAGCGACCACGAGTACGAGCCGGTGTCTCCACCGCCGGGGCCCGCCGTCGCGGGCCCGCCGACCGTACACGTGACGAACATCGAAGGGATTACGATCCAGGAGCCCCCCGAGGGCCCCGACGCCGAGCCCATCATGTCGGAGACCGACTCCGCCGGCTCCCCGGTCCGCCGGCCCGTCGACGAGGTCCCCGTGCCCCACGACGGCGACGACGAGGACAGGGCCATGTCCGGCGGAGAGATGGGCGACACGAACGGAAGTCTGGGAGGAGCGGATGACGAGGTGAGAGCGCACAACTATGCACCAGTGTATGGAAACTCTTTTCTGAGTGGGCTGACATGTTGCTGGTGATTTTACGCAGATGGAGCACGAGGACGACGAGTTCATCACGGCGGCGCAGATCCAGCAGCAGATGGAGGACCGCTTCTTCGCGCCGACGCCGACGACGATGCGCGCCGAGTCCCGGACGCCGGACGCCGCGCCGAGCACGGCCTACGCGGCGGCCCCGTCCGGCGCCGACGCCGCGCCGCAGGCCAAGAAGGGCCGCGGCAAGAACAAGAAGCTCTTCATGGCGGGGTCGGCGCAGGGCCGGTGGGGACGGCTGCGCGGCACCGGCCAGTCCTCGGCGGGCACGGCGAGCAGCGGCAGCCCGGCCGACGGCTCGCAGCCCGAGACCATCCAGCAGCGGCTGCGCTCCGGCGCGGACCGCCTCAAGACGCGGCTGGCCGGCATGCCGCGCCCGAAGCTCCCCGCCGTGCGCAAGCCCAAGTTCACCATGCCGGACAAGTCCAAATTCCACCTGCCGGACCGGCCCAAGTTCAAGATGCCGGAGCGGCCCAAGTTCAAGATGCCCGACCGGCCCAAGATCTCCCTCGGCAGCCTGGGCCGCGGCGTCCGAGGCAGCGCCAGCACGGCCGCGGCGTCCGAGGCCACCACCGCCACGAGCGGCACCGCGAGCGGCACCGCGGACGGCAGCTCGGAGCCGCAGCAGCCCAAGAAGGCCGGCAAGCGGTCGCTCAAGGCCAAGGCCATGGCCATGAGGAGCGGCAGGCAGTACAGCACTGAGTCCACGGCCGGCTCCTCGGAAAAGCGCCGGCCGCTGTTTGACCTCAACACGTTCCGCACGTACCCGCGCATGCTGACGCGCAAGATCCGCGGCGGTGACTCGTCCTCGTCGCCCAGGTCGGCGCGGTCCACGCGGCCCGGCACGCCGCCGCCACGCGCCAGCTTCAGCAACGACACCGTCAAGTGGATGCGCCGCTTCTCCGAGGCCAAGTACGGCGCCGGCGACCCGCAGGCCGCCGCCGTCAACTACGCGGCGCACCACACGCCGCCGCCCACCAACAACAGGCACACGGAGCCCCCGGCGCAGGCCTCGGCGGCCCAGGCGCAGCAGTCCTCACAGCCGGCCTCCACCAGAAACGGCGAGCAGATGGTGTACCACATTTCGCTGCACGGCACCGACTCGGAGCCCGAGTACAGTGACGACCAGTTCCAGGGGCCGCCCTACCCAGAGCTGCTGCCCATCGACGGCGACCTGGAGATCGTGGACCATGCCGCCAGGAAAGCCCTGGAGGAGGCCAAAGCCGCGGCAGCGGAAGAGGCCGCGCTGGAGGCCAAGAGAGAGGCCAGGAGGGAGGCCAAGAGGGAGGCCCAGCGGCTCGCCGACATCGAAGCCGTGCGGCGGGCAGAGGCAGCGGAGGAAGCGCAAATGTAAGTCTGGGAGTCGGTTGTTTCGTCTCTGGACACATTTTATTCCTTTCTGTTTTTGTTCTGTCCAGGGAGAGGGAGTACCGCAGGCGCACTCAGCAGCAACAACAACAACAAGGCCGCAGCCTGCGGTTCGGCCGCTACGCCGCGGACAGCATGGACGCCGACGAGGAGCAGGACTACAGCCAGGACCAGGACTACAGCCAGGAGCAGGACGTGGGCGACTCGGACCGCGAGAACCGCTCGTCGGGCACGTCGTCGGAGCGCCACCGCCGCGGCGTCATCGAGGAGATCGACTCGGACGAGTTCTTCCTGCGCCAGAAGGGCATCAGCCAGGAGGACGTCGACGTGGGCCGCTACATCGCGTCCGAGATCCGGGAGGCATTGCGGCCCGGCGCGGCGGCGGGCTACGGCCTCGACGACGAGGACGAGGAGTCCGTCGCCGTGCCCAGCCCACCGCCGCCGCGGCCGCAGCGCGGCACGGGCACGCGGTCCCTGGCGCGCAAGAAGAAGCAGGGCAAGATCTACGTGCCCGCGCGCGCGCCCGCCCGCGCCACGCCGCCCGCCGACGAGGACGACGAGGAGTGGGACGACGAGGAGGACGGCAGGGTTCCGGCCGACGACAGCTACTTCAACACGTTCCCGCCGGACAGGCCAGCGCGTCGCCGCCGCGCCAAGAAACCGGTGCCGCCCACGCCGCCGCCGCGGCACGAGCAGGACGACGAGGACAGTCGCATCCAGGAGGACATCGACCTGAGCGTCGCCATCCACCGCGACGACCTCGGCATCCTGGCGCAGACGCCCGCCGCGGACGAGCAGGCCGTCGCCGCGCAGCCGCCGATGCCGCCGAAGCGGCTCCGCAAGTCCAAGTCCTCCAACCTCAACCTCCACGACGACGTCCCCATGATCGACGACGCCGAGGAGGACTGGGGACGCGCCGAGCGACGGGCGGAGCGCGAGGAGGTGAGTGTACACGCCGCGGTGTTGCGGTTTGTGTCCCTGATGTCCCCTGTGCTTGACGCCTGATGGTTCTCTGTTGCCGCCGCAGGTGTTGGCTCTGCAACAAGAGGCCGATTACATCGTCCCCCGCGCCGCCCCCGACGGCCAGCAGCAGCCCCCCGTGCCGCCGACGCGCGGCCGCAAGTCCCGCGGCGGCTCCCGGGTGGGCTCGCGCGCCGGGTCGCGGGGCACGTCCCTGGCCGACGAGGACCGCACTTCGCGCGGCGCCGAGTCCCTGCCGTCGGAGCGCGACGGCGACGAGCTGCTGCCCGAGGACAGCCTGCTGGAGGACGTGCTCACCCGCAACGAGGACGACGACGACGTGAGGCTGGGGGCGCGCATTGACGACTACGCGTTCGTGGACAAGCAGTCGCTGCCGCGCGGAGTGGCGCCCCCCAAGCCCGACCGCCCGCGGCGCCCCAAGCCCCCTCGGCCGCCTGCGCCGGGCCGCCGCGCCAAGCGGGCGCCCACGCAGAGCGCCACGGCCCGCCTGCAGAACTGGAGGCAGTTCTTCTCGCTGCCGACGCGGCGCAGCGCCAAGCAGGCCGCCAAGCAGGCCACCGTCGCCGCCACGCCCGTGCGCCCCGCCAGGAACTACAGCACCCTGGGGCCCGCCCGGCCGCCGCGCAGGGGCAGCCACGGCAGCCAAGGCAGCAGGCACTCGCCCCTGCCCGGCACCGTCTACACCGCCGGCTACCTGGAGATCCACGCGGACGACGCGGCGCTGCAGCAGCGACGGGACACGCCCGAGCTGGACAACGAGACCGAGAGCAGCAGGGCGGACCTGCAGTCCGGGGACGTCATCTCCAGGATGAAGGACAGACCGCTGCCAGCGCCACCGAGGCCCACTCGCGCCCGCAAGCACTACGACAAAGGGTAGGAGTCGACACTTGTCTGTATCCACACCGCTTTGCTGCCTTATTCGGGAAGTTTGAATGATCGTCCCTCTTTGTTGTGCAGTGACTTGGACATGGAGGTGGACGAGCAGTTCCAGGAGAAGACCGTCCCCGACCGCTATCACTACCCCGACGACGGCGCGGACGCGTCGCGGGACTTCACCGACGTGGAACGGAAGGCCGCCATGGCGCAGCTCCGGGAGGACTTCTTCTCCAGGTCCGGCGAGGAGGCCCCAGAGACGGCGGCGGACGCGCACCAGGACCAGTGGCACGCCGACGGAATGCAGATTCCCACCGTCATCATGACGGAGCCCCCAGCGGACGAACCGCTGCCCGACAGCCCGTACAAGAGCCTGCGGAAGAAGAAAAAGAAGATACCGCCGCTGCCCCCACCGGAGCCCGAGCCAGAGGAGGACGCAGAGCCCGAGCGGCCGGAGGAAGTGTCCATCGCCATCCAGACCGACCCCTTGCCGGACGACCTGTGCGTCGAGGACGCCGCCGCGGCCGGCGAGGACCGCGAAGACACGACCACCAGCGCCAGCAGGACCTGGCCCACCGTGATGGAGCAGAGGCAGGAGGCGCCGCCGCCGCCACCACCGCCCACCAGGCGGCCTCGCAGGGACTCGCACGAGCCCACCGCCACGGCCGCAGCGGCAGCCGCAGCGGCCGCCGTGGCCGCCGCCATCCCCGCCAGCGTCAAGCTGGACGTGCCCGAGTCCCTGCAGACGCAGCGGCTGCAGGTGTCCGACCTGGACGTGAACCGGCTGAGCGTGAACGAGCTGCGCGCCAACAAGATCACCGTTTCCGAGATCGACGGCATGTCGCTGTCCGTGTCCGAGGTGCACAACCGGTCGTCCAGCGGGCTGCAGCTCGCGCCTGGCGAGCCTGGCACCGTGGAGCTGCCCTCCGACCTGCTGCAGCAGCTGCTGCCGCTGTCGCAGTCCATGTCGCACGCGCTGTCGCAGTCGCTGTCCGAGTCCCTGGCCAGCAGCCTGTCGCAGGCGCTGTCCCAGATCCAGGAGGCCCTGTCGCAGCCCGCCGAGCTCGTGCAGCAGCAGCAGCTCCTCCAGGAGCAGCTTCACCGCCTGCAGGAGCTTCAGAGCCAGCAACAGCAGCAGCAGAGCGAGCAGTTGCAGCAGCAGCAGCAGTTCCAGCAACAGCAGCAGCAGCTCGCGCAGGACACGCTTCTGCAAGTGGAGCAGCAGCACTCCGCCGTGCTTCACGAGCTGCAGCAGCAGCTGCAGAGCCTGCAGCTGGCCGCCGCGACGCACCCCGACGTGCCCCCTCCCATCCCGCCGCCCCCACGCGTCGACGCGCAGTCCATCCAGACGCAGACGTCCCTCGAGCTCCCCGTCGGCGCCGCGCCGGCCACCACCGCCACCGCGTTGACCGCCCCCGTGGCGCCCCCACGCGGCGGGGCGAGGCCTCGCGTCAGCCCCGCGGCGCTCGGCGTCGACTCTGAGGAGGACGAGGAGGTGGCCCTGGCCATGGCGCCGCACTCCAGCCACTCCCTGCCGCGGCGACGTCGGCACCACGGCCACAGCCAAGGCCACAGCCACCGGGCGTCGGCGCGGTACTCGTCCGACGACGACGAGGAGCACCTGGCGCCGGCGCCGCGGCGGCACCGTCCCGCCTCCGCCTTGACGCCGACGGCCTCCACGGCGGGCGACGGCGCGGTGCCCAGCCTGGGTGAAGCGGGCCGGCAGCTGGCCCGGGCGTGCCGCGTGAGCGCCATCCACGCCTTGGCCACGCTGCACCAGGCCATCCAGCCCGCCATGGACTCCGTCGGCCAGGCCGTCGGCGCCGACCCCAAGCGACGTGACCTGCAGGCCGCCCTGTGCCTTGTGCTGGTGCTCGTCACCGCCCTCATCCTGCTGGGCTGTGGCTGCGCGGGCAGCAAGGTAGTCCACCACCACCACTGGGACTTCCAGTTCCCTCCACCCCTATAGGGCTATATTTCTAATTTCTAGTCACCAGAGAGAATTGTGATTCGCCGTTTCGGGTTCAAAGCCCATCAAAGGACTTTTCTTCATTCTTTCATTATTTTTGTTTTGTTTTGCATGTTGCAATGTTTCGTTTTATTAAGTACTTTTTCGTTTTTGTTGTGGAGTGAAACCAGACTTATGTAAATGCTGATGTGATATATCACTTAACAACAGTCAAGTTTACCTAAACCTGTGACCATTGATCACTGTATTTTTATTTTGTCACAACTCTAGTCACGTTTCTTGTGCCATTTAGGGAATGCCAATTTTGGGATGCTAGGTGAAAATTTAAGTTTTTCTAGTCCTTCTGAATCTATCAGTTTTGTTTAAGTGCATGTAAAAACGTCTAGTCCAAACTACAAGTACTGAAGTGCCTTTTGTGTGTTGAGTGCTTCCCTACATTGAGCACAGATTGACATGTTAAAACAAAGCTTTTAAAAGAAAATATGAAATAATGTTCCCAATAACTGCTGCTTATAAAGTGGATCTCTCCCTTTTTTCGTAGAGAGGGAATTCATGTTTCCTTTCTCGATTTCCAGTGTACATGAAACTGGAGGCAATGATTTGTCTCCATTCCCTGTGCCCTACCTGCCTTCCCTACGCAACAAGACAAGGATTCATAAACAGTAGTTTAGATCCCCTTTGAAAATTGTATTTATTTGTTGTAGATTTCTTATCCATCCTATTTATGCTCCATAAGTTGGCATGTGTTGATGATTTTTATTCTATTCCATGTTTTATCTCATATTAAAATCCCATAAAAGTTCACCCCTACTGGAGGAGACTATATATTCAACAAAGTCACTGGCGTCTTCGATTAGAAATAAGTAATCCCTTTAAGTCGGCTATGGAAGAAGCTATACACATTGGTATTGTTTCATTCCTAACAAAGTCAACAACTCATGTAGATAGTAGTTATAATCTCCATCAAGAACACAAGTAAGCAGTGGTATGCTATGTTTTTCCATCACATTTGCAAGATTATTACCTCATGTGATGAGATCTTGTATTATAGTGTTTTGTAAGTGTTTTAATGACATCAATTCCTGTCCAAAGTTCATGTAAATAAATGAATGAATAAACATTGCTTTAAGTTTTTTAGAGGAGCTAATCAGCATCTCAAATAAATCCGGAAAAAGGTGTGAATTTCAGCTGTCTGAGGGAAAGCCAGTTGCTCATTTGGGGCTAGGAAAAAATACCATCAAAGTTTATAAATAGAAATCTTATTTTGCAAACATTTTACATTGGGAAAAAAATAACATGAAGGTTGGATTAACCTTCTTTTCAATTTGACTTAATAGAATTAGATACAGTATGTACAATTAAAATTAAAATACACTTCAGGTACTCTCTAATCTGCAAATAAACTGTCATCTTCATAAACCACAGGTTGTCTCTTGTCCTTATGACTTCCTTTCTGAGAATGACTTGCAGCTAAAAGAAATAGGAGAAAAAAAAAGATAGATAGATATTAATGTTAACCTTATAAGAAGAAATTACCAATACATTATTGCAACTGACACACCAAATATTACCAAAGAAAAACAATGAAAGGAAATATCATACCTATAGTGGCCCAAGTAGATGATGATGCAGCATCATTGATTGGACTAATTTGAGGCTGTCTTCTTGCAAGTGTCACCTTTAGCTGAACTCCAGATACCATACTACCGTTTATCTGTGGAAAATCCAATTGATAGATATAATACAACACTGCTGCACCAACAACAATGTCAGGGTAAAAGAAATAATAAAAAATGATCAGGTACCTCAGCAATGGCACGCTCAGCAGCTTCTTCCGTTTTGAAGGTCACGAATCCCCGACTAAACACCATAGATAAATAGATTAAGATAGACAGTGAAAATATTAGATGTTAATGCAGGTTACAGTTAGCTACTTACTCTTTCTCAACCTCCATTGAAATATTGATAATAAGCCCACAATTCATGAATGCCTTCCGAAGAAGGTCTTCAGTAATCTGAAATCCTTGCACAAAAATAGTATTTCCTACTCTGGGTTTATCAGTTTTCTCCTTCTTTTCAGTAAGTCCCCTTTCTTCTCTATCTCGAGCAGTTACAAAGCTGTCATAAAGATTCTGAAACAAAACACAAGAGTAGGATTAAAAGTTCCTTCTCACTGACATTTATGGCATAAACATGAAGTAAAGCGACAAATAAAGAGGCTAACTTACCTTGACTCGTGGCTTCTCAGCAGGTTCTGCAGTTGGTCCTGGCACCTCATCAGTGTGGGCTGCTTGAAATGGTTGGTAAGCGCTAACAGTTCGTTCAGCGGCAGACAACTTCCTCTCCAGTCCACGAGGCCTCTTAAAGCCAGCCTGTTCAGGCCGCTTTTGAATTTTGGGGATGGCAGTGATGGCACCAGATTTGAGAAGCTTCCGCGCCACTTCGCGAGCGTCTCGTCCTTCTGTGGGCCGTTTCTGTGCAGGAGCAGTTCGCTCGGGTTCTGGCTTGGGGGCTTTCCAGGCTTGAAGAGCTTTTTTCTGTCGATCAAAGAAAACATTTAAATACAACTCATAAAGTTGGACAGGGAAATAGATGGGACTAGGGACAGCAAAAAGAAACAAAATATTCTCAAGTACACCAAGGAACAAATATCTAAGAGGAAATGATAGGTTAGACATTCATTTTACACGGAATGTAAATAAAGAAGAAGTACCTTTTTCTTGAGTTTGGCATATTTTGCCTGAAGCATCTGTTCTTCTTCGGTCAGGTTGTTCGGGAAATGGAGGTAAACCATTTTGACAAGTTTAAAAAGGGAATTTTCAAAACACAAACAACAGAAACCAAATTTATGTTTTGGCCGCGTCTCAAAATTTTTCATCTGTTAGGGTGATATTACTGTACGCCAACTGACAACATCGCTTTCCTTTCCTTCAAAAATTCTTTACCAAACCATGGAGTAACAAAACTAGCAAAAAAAAGCAAGTCTTTAAGCAATAAAAATTTATGATTGAAAGAAATATGCTTTTTCAGTTACGTGGAGAATTAACTTAGATTATGCACCTAAGCAATACATTGTAACGTTGGTATCTGGCGTGTATGACAAATTCAGAGTCAGGGACCCTTGTTGTTGTGCTTTGTTTGTTTGTTATATTTAGTTAGGTATTTTAATTGTTTATTATGTGTGAAGAGTCACTTCGTGGTTGCTTTTAACAAGTATGCATTACTTTGAGTTCACTGTACAAAGTTTTCCTGCATGAATGGACCGCTGCATAAACTATTATGTCAGATATCAAAGCTGTTATCCAGTTATTATGTCAACATTTGAACATTCTGTTGAAAGTTAACCTGAAGCCAGAGAATTTCAGATTAGCAAAGTTTAATAACAATAATCCGGAAACGGTAAGTCAGTCTTGAAATTAATTAACCGACGTTTTGCGCTATGATCGCCCTTCGAATCCTGTTAACTTCTGTTCCAGATTCAAGAACTATGGGATACTCTCGTGAAGCTCTGTAAAGCTCTTGGTTCTAAAATATCGTTGAGTGAAAAATGTATGGGTTCGTTTGAAGATATTTTATTTTTCTATTCAACGAAATTTAAACTATCTTTGTGTTCATTTGTTTGTGTTTCTTTCTCTGTTTCAGGCAATTCTCAAGTTTGGGTGAAACTTCGATTGGCCTCTCAAGGCTACAACAGTGCAGAATTTTACAGCCTACCTGCAGATAACACGAGTGGAAGCCGGGAGTTGTTATTAGCATTGATGTGGATCATTGCTAATGAAAACGCTTTGGCAACCCTCACTCAAGAATGCGTACGTCAGTCACCACTGTGCCAAGAGTATTCAGATGCTCCAACGCAAGAGGTAATTTCAAAAATGCATGTAAATTGCTTTCTTTGCATTTGGTCATTTAACTGTTATACTATATTTCAGGTACTGAATGGCAGAAGTACTGTTTCTATTTTGAACAGTCAATCTAAAAAGGCTTTGAGTCTAGAAGATCAAATAAATTATTGTTTATGGTTGGCAAACCAAATAAAGTACAACATAAACCAAATTCATGATTTGGAAGAAGAAAGAATAAAAAATACCCATAAGGCAGGTTTATTCCAGCGTTTCATTGTTAATAAATACTATTAAAATAATTGAACTATTAATTAAAATTATGTTTTTAAAAGTAGGTTCATGAAGCAACTGCGGGATCGAGTGGTCTTCCACATCTGTCTGTCTTTGAAACAAAACTAGTTCGAGATCCAGAACTCTTGAAGCAATGGATGCCTAAGCTCTCTAAACTGAATGATCTCCTTACAACCCATTCAAAGTGGCTGAAGAAAAAATCTGCTTTTTGGGAGTGGATGGTGAGCTCTAATTTTTTTTTGTGAACTTTCTAAATATTCTAATCCCATTTGAACACTTGTTTTTGCTTCTATTTTGATGTATTTTAATGCTTGTCAGGGCACTGTAGTGGAACTGAAGGAGAAGGAACTAAGCAGCAACTCTCTACAGCAGGGTGATGAAAGTGCCTTGGCTGATTTCGTAAATGCTGCTCGCATGTATGCAGGAACTAGGACGCCAGGTACAATTGATTATTTTGTCTGTCAATTATTAAAAAAAAAAAGGATTATTACTGAACAATGTTTATTGTTGTGCAGATACAGGAAGTAATACAATGGGTGGCTGCCCTCGCTTCTTCATCAGTTCACTTTATGCTAAATCCACTAACAATTTAGTCAGAAAAGCTAGTTCAAGCGACCTTCTTGCTGATATGGGGCTCAATGAAAATGGAGTAATAATTCATGCATCTGATTGGTTAGCTCAAATTGACACTGAACTTCAAGACATAGAGAAAATGAGGCATGAAAAGTTGCAAGAACTCAACCTCCTCCTGCAATCCATGACACAAAAGCTGGGGATAGTTGCTATAGCCGATGTTTCCAGTGGAGAGGTAGAATCTGAAGACTGCTCAAAGTAAAATGTATTAGACTTAGGGTTTTTTGTTTATTTTTGTGATTGTTTATTTCCTGGTGTGTTTGTCCAATAACTTCTCTTGCAAAATATCTCAGATTAACAGTATTTCTTTCTTCTTTTTACTAATGTATTAGGCCTTGTTTGTTGTTTCCTCCATTACACAAAATGACATGATATGGACATGAATTATATCTCTATTTAAGTAAGTTAGCTTGCTCCCAGCCTCCTTGGAGAATGTTAAAGCATTTGACTGCTGATCTGTGATTTCTCTCATTTTAAAATGAAGTTGACCAATTTTTTTCACATCCAAATTTGTGCAGTGTGCCAGTAACGTATTGCCATTGAAAGGTGCCTTTATCAATTCTTACATTTGTGCCATCCTTTCTGTTTTGATGTGTAGATTTGGCTCAAGTAATTTAGAGCTCTGGTGGTGGTTCTGATTCAGGATTACTTTCCTTCTGTGTATTTTTTGTTGGCCTGTGGATTTAGTTGTTCAATCTGTGCTTTATTTCCCGGTGCGGACCCAATTTCAAATTCCTTTTTAAGGGCAATATTTTGCCATTAATTTCTTGTATGGTTTTGTGTACTTTTTGATACAAGCACAGCATTATTTATGTGTGCTTTTATGTTACCTGTGATTTACTGAGTGTGAACTCAGTTTGACTATAATTTCAGATCTGAACTTGCTGCCTTATTCAAGTACTGAATGAATCTCTGTGAATGCTTTGATGTGATCAGGAATTATTGTGATCTGCAGGGTACTTTAGAGGATTTTAAGATGTCACCTGAGAAACAAGGTTTATCACAAGCGACTGTAGAATTTTCTTTTGTGTAAATTGATGTCTGTCAGGCTTGTGATGTTTTGTTTGTCAAATTTTAACTTACTCAACTAATTTGTAAAGGTTTTAAAGTTATCAATTTGTTATGTTTTTGCACCTCAGATAACAATAAAGGTAATGTCTTTGGAGTAATGTTTTAGATCATTTTCAATGCTGTGCTCCGTTCCCAATCTCTCTTTTCCATCTGAGTGTCTCAACTAATCCTTGCTCAGCCATGAGATACTCGCCAGGCCCGGAAGCGACAGTCCTTCTGGTGACTCTTCTGAGTGGCATGATGGTTTTTTTTTAAATGAAAAGAGGTAGGCATAATACACTTTATTGCAAATTTGTGATGTAATAGATAAAAATCTGAAAAAAGACATCTATAAATGCAGTTCACAGTATATACTGAATTATATATATTTCATATAAATATGTCTGTAAAAAAGTTATGTTAATTTAATCCATTTCATGGAAAAAATTAGAACAAAACACAATTGACATGGTAAAAGAAAGCGAAAAACGTAGCAAACGGACAGGTACTTTGAGTCATCTTAATTATTCAAACTTAACCCTAACTCCCTTGAATGAAAACACAAGATTAGGATTAATAATCAATGAATCCATCTTCCCTGTACAGCTACCAATTTATTCATGAACGCCATCAGTCTTGATTTTTAAATTTCACCTAGACATTCAAACCCTTAGAACTAAATAATTGACATTGTTAATTTGGTTCTGAACTGCAGAAGTTATCATTCAAGATAGCAGCAAAATATTAAATGGGAGTGAATAGTACTAATCACTTGAGTTAGTGCATGAGACTAAGATCAATGATACAATAGAATGAGCAAAAGCACAACCAAATCAAGCCTGTCGTCTCAAACTTACAAAGAAGCATGAAAAGAATGCGAGAAAACAACACCCACAAAAACATGTCGACAAACATTTTTTGTCCAATTTTTCATCTCATTGTATGTACTACTAGTAAAAAGTTGGTCTTTGGGTCAATAGACAGCAAACAACAAATAAAAAGAAAATTAACCACAAACAATAACATGATAGATTTTGATCTTCAAAGATAAATTACAATGCCCTAAAAAGTAATGACAGTCTCTTTGGTATAATAATGCAACGAATCAGGATTATTTATCTTTAAGTGATGCCAGTCAGATCGATAGTATACAAATTTATGCAAATGACCCATAAGGTGAGCAGGAACACCAAAAGCGGAGGTTTGTGGTCAAAATTCTGATACCAGTATTCATTAATGGTAAAATTTTATCCGTGTCTGTGAACCTTCTTCGATCATGTTCTTCTGTGCTTTATGATATTCAGTCTAATACAAAGTTTTGTACAGTCTTAAATGTCAACATTTTGAACAGTGACACAAAAATGAATTACTACTGTATTTGTCTATTAATTAGTAACTTTTAGTTCTGTAAAAAAGAAAGAGGAAGGCCCCCAGATCAAGAATAAACCGCCACTTTAGTTTTAAAGTAGTTCCTCTTACCTGTCAGAGCAGTAAAACTAACATACACTAAAAATTTATGAGAAGGCATAGTAACACTTGTCTTCCCAGAACAGGGGTTCTAAAACTTATTGTATCTGGTTCAGAGAAGTCTTTCAGAGTTATGATTAATTTCAAACCAATCATGAAACAATACTGAAAAGAAAGTTACAAAAGATTCTAGAATGCATCTTATTAACTTTTCCAATGCAGTTTTACCAGACATAAAGTGACAGAAGAAAGCCAAACCCCTTTGGTTAATTTTTGGGTTGGCTCAGTGCTACACCAGAAATTTCACTACATGAGCATACTGATAAACATGCAAAATATGAAAATGTTCTACGTTTCAGTGATAGAAACTAGCAGCAATAGAAATTGCTCATCCACAAATGATGCCGGGATATAAAAGATTCATCTGAAATTTCCTAGCAATACATCCGACAGTAACAGATAGGATACACAGAGAGATATGAGAATGACAGATAAGATCACAAGTTCACCAATAACATTACATAGGACTGAATATAATATCATCTTTAAGACAAAAGTGATAAGACCACTTCATCTTGAAGAGAACGACTCACAAACAAACAGTGGTAATAATTTTTTGATAGTTTAAACCGCTATTCCCATAATACTACAGGTAATAAATACTAGCATTACATAAAAAAGTGAGAAAACACTTACTGATGAATGTACAAAACATGACAACGCATCCTGAGAAGGTTGCTCAGTTAGTCAATTCATCACTCTACATGGCAGAGTAACACACCAATAATATAACCATGGGTATAAAATAAGCAAAATAACAATAATGATACCCAAATTAAATCGGCCAATTACCAGTTCTATAAAATAATTCTTTAGAAAATCAAGAAAAACAAAAGAAACTATGATTGCTGCATCCGTCGATATGTTTCAATTATTTCAGGAGAACAAATATATGTTGTTCCGTTTGCTGAAGACTGAACTTGAATCACAGCTGATGATGATGAAGGAACCATTTGCTGAATGAGCTGAGGAAGAATACTGCTGATGCCATTAGATGAAGGTACATTTGCTTGCAATGTAACAGGCACTATGTTGTTTTGTTCAATAAGTTGTCTTATCTCATCTGTAGGCTGTTGCTCTTCTTGAGACCCTTGGTGGTGTGGAATTTGGATCTGTAAAGGATCTACCAGATCCGCATCACTTCCAATTTTGAGTCTGTCTTTCCCATCTGGGTCATGAAACTCTTCAACTGAGTCCTAAAATTAAAAAGATAATATTAAAAAAATTAATTAAAAACTGGAAACTGGCAGGGATCAGATTGACACCACACTGGTAAGCGACCAACCTTGTCGAGCTTCTTTTTATTGATTTTTCTATGTCTTAATCTGTGAGAGTCACAGAAAGCTTTAGTGGGATAACCTTTACCACAGATATCACATTTAAACGGGAGTGCTTGTGGATCATACACAACTTCTCCATTTTCACTCTCTACTGCAGTACCATGGCAAGCCTGTCAAACATGAATTAAATAAAATTAGAGATAAGTTTTACAATTTTGAAGAAATAAAAAAGTAAAACCAAAATTATACGTACCAAATGCATCAAGAAATAGTGTTTGACAATAAAACTCTTGCCGCAGGTTTGGCATTCAAATGGTCCTTCACTTGTATGGGTTTTACGATGTTTGTGTAGATTGTCCTTTCGACCAAAGTTCTTGCCACATTGCTCACATTCAAATTGCTTGGTGCCAGCATGACTTATAGAATGCCTTAATAAGTGTTCCTTTCTTATAAATGTTTTGTCACAGTGCTGGCACACATAGGGCCTTTCACCTAAAACATTGAGATGAAAAGAAATTGAAATCAGAACAAGTTTTTAGCAGAGTTGACTGTGAGGATTTTACAACTCAATCTGACCCTTCAACATGATGCTGAAGTCAAATCACAATCAACACATGTTTTGAGATTCCTACAAACCTGTGTGCAGCTTCTGATGTTGAGCAAGATGTTCTTTCCTTTTGAACAGCTTTGAACAATCATCACATCCATATATAAATTTCTCCACATCTCTTGAGTCTATGTCTTGACCTCCAGCACCACTCACAACCGCTTCGATAGATGTGCATAAAGAATCTTGCTGATCAAGTTCCTCATGATTAGAAACATCATCTTCGTGCTCGTTATCACTTCCAAATGGAAGCATTGTATTGGTATACTCATGCTGTGATGGCTCTACTTTGGGGTTTGGCTGTATTTCATGTGATTGTTGAATATGTATCTGGAGATGTTGCTGCTCTTGTTGAAGCTGTTGCTGTTCTTGTTGGAGCTGCTGTTGTTGTTCTCGTTGCAACTGCTGCTGCTGTTGTTCTCGTTGCAACTGCTGCTGCTGTTGTTCTCGCTGGAGTTGCTGCTGTTGCTGTTCTCGTTGCAACTGTTGCTGCTGTTCTCTTTGCAGCTGCTGTTCTCGTTGCAGCTGCTGTTCTCGTTGCAGCTGCTGTTCTCTTTGCAACTGCTGCTCTTGTTGAAGCTGCTGCTGCTGTAGTTGCTGTTGAAGATGCTGCTGTTGTGTTGTCTGAGGTTGTCCCTGTGATTGAAGCTGTTGCTGAATCTGAGCTTTAGCAGTCCTACTTCGTTTCTTTGGGGTCGGCTGTCGCACAGTTTGCTGTTGAAGGTGTGCTTGACTAATCTGCTGAGGCTGATTAAGCTGCTGCTGTTGTTGTTGCTGCTGTTGTTGTTGTTGTTGTTGCTGTTGTTGCTGCTGCTGTTGCTGTTGAAACTGTTGTTCAAGCTCTTGACACTGAAGTGATTGGGTTTGCAATAAATGTTGGATCTGTTGATGATGCTGCTGTTCCTGCAACTGTTGAGCTGTGATCATCGTTTGAGGAACTCCAACAATGCGCAGACCTCCTGGTATTGTGGGATCTTTCACTAGAGTTGGACCATCCACAACGTTCATTTTCAGAAATTCACTTATTTGAGCCAGTGAAGCCCTGTACAAAGAAGACAGAGAAAATTAAAAACTATGCATAAATGCAACTTTGTTTACTTTTTTTACACTGCTGTTTTTTTATTAAAATACAGGTTTGGGGAAAAGACTTGCATCCAGCAAATGTGTCATATACCAGTAAAATATCAAACTCAACTTACTTCTGTAACTGGGGATTGGTTCCATCAGAATCTTTTAGATTGAAATGAACCATCATTTCTTGACCTGCAGAAGCAAAAGTGATGGTTTGCTGCTGCACTTGGGGAGCATGCTGGGACTGTTCAGGGCCATTCTCATTATCAACAACCTTCTGCAAAAGAGTTAAAAATAAGTGAATAATTGAAAATAGATGATAGGACTTCACAAATACTAATAAAGAAAATATTTCCTTACTTCGTTTTTTATTCCAACATTCTTTTCAGGAGATATATCAGGTGTAGAAACTGCATTATTGAGGTATGTATACTTAGTGCCATCACTGGCCTCTATGATAGGTGCAGCAGCTGTCCCTAGTAACTGCAATACAAGACATACAGTTATCCTTCTGAATAAATTGGGACAACATAGACATGCCATGGGATACTTACTGGTTGAAGTCGAGCAGCATCAGACTCACTAAGAATCTGTATTCCTGCTGCTTGAATGAGATTTGATAAGCCATCTGCACCAACGGGTACAACAAGTGTCGCAGGAGCTGGCATTTGTGATGACTGAGGCTGGACATCAGTTTTAGGTGCCTTGGGATCTTTCAATGGTGGAGGATCTCGTACATACACCTGGAAATGGAATCTGATGAGAGTAGCAAGAAAAGGATAAGTACGAAGCGTGAATACCAATGAGAATACATACCGCTGCAATCTGCCCTTCTCTGTGGTCTTCGGCTCTGATTGAAGAGAAGTAGCTCTCCAGCATGGCCTCAGCATTAACACAAGATTCTCGAAATTCATAGAAACTTTCAAGTTTCTCAACACAGTTAGAGCATATTATCTTAGGCAGTGAGTCATCCTCTGCTACCTGAAAAGCAATATGAAGAAACAAGATACGTTCTTTAAACAATTTAAAAATAAAAATGATTGAAGTTCATTGTTTGAACGTAGGGAAAAAGACTGATGATAGTTTGAATTTTTTTAAAAATGTTCTAGCAACTGTAACGACGCAGTGCAAAAATTTCAGAGCAAAATACTTGGAAAGTGGTAAATCCAAGGGAGTAGCAGAATGCCCTACATACAGAAATGTGTAATTGAGCCAGAGAACACGAACAGGAGAAGAGGAGGAAAGAGGCCACAGGGATGTGAATAACACCGAAAAAAAAGTTTAAAATTTATTAAGACGGTAAAATTTTGCCATTGAGGTGGAAGTAAGAAAAAAGTTGTTTGTGACAGACAAGGCTAAAGGGTTAGGTTTCCCCAATGACATATTTAAAGGTCGTCATTGATCAGCCCTTTTCAATGACGTACTGTGTGCGAGACCATAAGCTCGAAGAAATAAGTGTGACTCTTTCAGTCACGAAATACGATTTCTTTAACGAATAAACTGCGTTTACGTGAAAAATACCTCAAGTGGGAGACAGAGTGGGATCTTCCTAGCAAGTTGACGTCTTCGACCTTCTTCACGGAATAGGTGCATTTTAGTTCCTTCTGTAGTCGTACATAAACGACATAATTCATAGTAATTAACCCTTCTGTACCCGGACATAGCTTCAAATGTCTATTTTTTTGCTATCAAAACAATAACAACGAATTTCAAACTAGTCCAGTCGACGGCATCTCCCCTCTCTTCAATTTGGCAGTGAAACGCTTCCCTCTCATACGGCTAGAGTGTGGATGTTGATCGTCGTCTAGATCTTTTTAACCAGAAAAGATGATAAAATCACAAAATAGGCATGCTTAAAGAGAGCCTCTAGCAAAACTAGAAAGAAAAATGCAGCCTTTCGCGGTTGTCATAACTTTCGCATCCGCCCGTAGAATTTTTAAAAATACTTTTTTTTCCACCGCCTTCTGTAGTTATGAAATTCAGCTTGCATTTGCATTTTTTTAAACGAACCATAAAATAATTTCGCACCTTGGACAGAACGGCATGATTCACTAAAATCAAAATTATCTTACAAACTAGCTGGTAAACATTATGATTCTAAATCACCGTTCAAAATTTATGAAAACTAGAAATGAGCGGCAAAATCGTGTCCGGGCTGTGGAACGTACCCCGTAGCGCGCTGGCGCGCAGTGCGCGCATCCATTTCATCCATTCCATCTTCCATTGTCAGGTGTGAAAGTATTCCGAAGGCACCGTTGTTTAAGCTGACATTATTATTTGCAATATCATTTATTTGGCAGTATATTTATTTGAAAGACAGGCGCAGCCGTAAACACTAGAGTTATGTGTACATCAAAGTGCTCTTACCGTCTGCTGGTGTCTTTTAAGTGAAGGGAATTGTGTGTGAGTGTGCGGCAAATTTCATCGGATGGTCCAAGCTTGCGGACCAAAAGCAGCGCAAAGACGTTAACTAATTCCCTCCAAAAGGTGATTTGTTGAACTGCGCCATGCCTTTGCTGGACAAAAAGCCCTTCGAGAGGAACAAGCCGCCGAGGGACTTGCGCAGCAGTGATGAAGTGTTTTACTGCCCTCTCACCAAAGAAATTTTTCGTGATTACGAGTAAGTAAAGTTTGGTTGGGTCCGGGTTGACAAGTTCTGAACTCAAGTCGGCACACTCGAGTTCGCCTACCCGAGGCTCCCCGTGTCACAGAATTTCGAGGAGAGTCATGCATTTATCTCGGTTCTTGTTGACAAATCCACCAAAATGACACTTGCACACTACTTGCATAGCAAACCCACTTTATTGTAGAAATTTGGTAATCAACAAATTTAACCCCAGGCTTGGCTTTGCTTGCCACCAGGTGCCTGTAATCTAGGCCAGCGCTCTCAGAGATATGCATCATCATTTTGATTCATGGTCAATCCTGATATTTGAAATCAAATTCACACATTATATTTAAATAAACACTTTTTTTCTGTGTTGTCTGGTGTATCCATTCCCTTATCAAAAAAATTTGTGCATATCCCAGGACAAAACTTACCTAACCTTGAAAACATGAAGGTGGATTAAAGACACTGAGGGTTATTTCCTTCAGAGTCTTAATAGTCGACATCTAATTGTTGTGATGGGTGTATTTTCACTAAGTGAGGGCTGAGTTCTGTTCAGAAATAGTAACTGACACCTAATGATATGAATTGTGATTTTGAATTAACATATATCTTGAGTCTTCTTTTTAAATTTTAATATAAGTGTTTGTTTCATACCATTTTTTTCCTGTTCCAGAGAGTACTGTGCCAGAATCATCTTATGCAATTCTCTGGTTTGGCAATGCTCGTTAACGGGGCGCCCTCAGCTAACTTTTGAGGAAGCTTTGAAATCTGAACAACATGCCAAACAAAATTTGAAGGATTTTCCTATGGAGGTATGGATTTCCCTCAATATTTTCCCCTCTGTTGTACAAAAATCCAGGTGTTTTTGCTGAACAATTTTTATGACGGTTCCTGATTTGTTTTAATTTTCAGCTCAAAGTGCCAGTGTTATATCTTGCATCTAAAACACATCGAACAGGCATTCTTGATCTAGTTGAAGATGTTTATATTTATGTCAGAGACCGCTACTTTGTTGGAGAAACGGTTGAAGTGTCTATTACGGAAGGAGGTCCATGGTTAGTAAGGAGGATATCTGTTATTATATTTGGCAGTTACTTCTATTTGTATTCTTATTGTACACCTACCGTATGTGTTCATCATTCCCATTCCCTTACAGGACTGATGCATACATAGTGCATGTCATTGCACCCTCTGATGAAGAAATTGCCAATCAGCCACCGCCTAGTGCTGATGTCAAGTGAGTGATTTCTTTCGCTATGGTCAACATTTATGTCTCTTGTGGTATGTTTTGTATCATCCTTTCTAATGCTGGTGTGACTATTCTAGAGATCCACAGCGGCAGTTCCAACCTCCAGCATCAATGTTCCGATATGAAGTTGAGCTCTCTGATCGAACAGCTGATGATGTGAGTGAGGTTCATACTTTGCCAGCTGCTCAAGTCCGTAGAAGGCCCCGCATGTATTCACGGGACCGTAATCGGCTCTTCTTGAAGCAGTTTTTGGAGGTTGATGGTGATTGTATTCTGAGGGTTAAGGTAAGATCAGATATATATTCAAACTACTTCAGTACGTTTAAAATATTTTGCACCAAATAAGTTTTGGAATTTTGTAAATATTGCAGGAAAGCGAACTGAACAAGTACAAAATTCGCCAGTACAAGTATGACCAGATTTTTGCTGGCAATCCCCCAGTTTTCCCATCTTCTCGGAGAGCTGTTAAAAGACTTCAGCAGCAACAACTTTTACTAACAAAGAGTCCTAAGAGAAAGTACACTAAACGGGCAAAACCTGACACTCCTCCACAAGGCACTCCCCCAGGCAAGAAGTCAAGGCAAGAAACAATGCAGAAATACATCACAATGACTAAAAAATCTCCCAATGGCATGACCAATGGGGCCAAGAGTGGAGGTTCGACTTCCCCTCAGAAGTCATTGAAAGATAAGTATGGTAAAGCTGCCCTTTCTGGTAAAGTTAGAAAGAGACGCAAATTTGATGATCCTCAACAACGAGAGCAATTGAAAATTAAAGCTATTGAAGACAAGAAGAAAAGACGAGAAGATATGATGAAAGAAAGAGCTGCTAAACGAGAGAAGAAATTGGAGCTAGCGAAGTTCATTCGGGAATGGAACAGGCAGAGGGAAGATTTGGAATGTGAAGATTTGAAAGTACTTCCTGTCCCAACACCTGTTGAAACTAAGATACCTAACAAGCTGTTTGGGGATGTCATGATGGCCATGGAGTTCTTACATACATTTTCTGAACAATTAAAAGTGAAAGACTTCTTCCCAAGCGGTGTTAGTCTTGAGCTGCTTGAGAGGAGTCTAGTTGAGCCCGAAGTAACTGGTCCGTTGAATGATTTACTGCAGCTCCTCTTATCTGGCCTTTTTGAAATGCAAGAGGATGAGGAAGAAGCATTGGATGAGACAAATCCTGTGGACCTAACAGAGCCTGTGTCTGGTAAGTTGCTCCTGCCTGAGCAGCTTGTTCCTGTTTCCCTCTAGTTCTCAAAGCTCAGTTTCTTTTCAAACCTTTTTCTCGTAGGTAACATGGATGAAAATGATGTCGCCACATCTGAAGCTCTGAGAGTTGCTTCCGCTGCAGCAGCCTGGAGTAATACTTTCCAGGGTAAACCCCTCAGCAAGGTGGAACTAGATTCTGTAGTTCTCACAGAGGTTCTCAGGTTGCACCTTCTTCAGTCAGGCAACCGAGCTGGAGAAATGAGCACAGAATGGAGGTGAGTTCTGAATTCTAAAGTTTCAAGTACTGTAGTATGGTACTGTAACAGAATGAGTGTTCTAACCCATTTTCATGGCAGGTATCGTGAGCGAGGTGGTTACACAACCAGAGATGATCCAGGTCTTGTATGGAAAATGGAAAATATGAACATTCTTAAAGCTTTGAGTACTACCAGTATTTTTGAATTGCCTCCTGGTATGTATACAATGTGTTGCCAAACAGAAATATCTATCTATCTTGTAACCGAATTAAACATGAATTTTTTTGTTTTATTTTTCTATGATCAGAGGACAAACTCTCAGTTATTACTTGCCTTATAAATCAGATTATGACTTATGTTGCGATGAGAGATGTTATAGAGGAACGTATGGAAAAGACAAAACAAGTTCGTGTTGAGCTTCACTTTGCTGATAGAGAAATAAGCAAGAAGGAAAAAGAAATGTAAGTTAAATCTAGTTTCAATTTGAAGTTTTTGCATGTTATATTTCCTGTACTGGGATGTTGGATTACTTTTTTACTACTACAATATGAAATTTCAGGATTGAGCAGTCTAGAAAGAAAAGGAAGAAGAACAATGTAGAGCCAGAAGAACCAAAAGCCAATGGTGAAAATGAGGAGAGTGAAGAAGAGGAAGAAACAGCAGAGCAGAAGGCAACTCGTCTAGCTAGGGAGAAAAAGAACAATAGTGACAAGCAACGAGAAATTCAAAAGCGCAAAAATCAATTGATGGACGAAATGTTAAGTCATGCTAATCTCCCCATTGGTACTGACCGAGCTCATAGGAGATTTTGGTTATTTGCTTCATTACCTGGTCTCTTTGTCGAGCATGATGAACGATTTGCTGGCTCATGCTTAGATAAGCCCACTCCTCATAATCTGGATCTTGTAAAAATGGAAGACACATTATCTTATGTTTGCAAATTATTTGAAGAAGAGCGGAATGGAGGAAGTGACAAAGAAAATGATGGTGAATCTGAAACTCATCCAATTGCTCCTATTGGAAGCCCCAGCAAGAAACTTCTTTCAGAGAAGAACCACAAAGCGGGAGGAAGCCCAATGAAATCTCCATCACAGCAGTCTAACACTCAAACAGCAGAGGATGAATCTAAGCCATCAGTGAATCATGCAGCACTCCTAACTTGTAATGCTGATCCTGACTCATGTCCTGTGCATAGTGTAAAAGCAGAACGTACAACTTGGGGTTTCTATTTAAAGGATCAAGTTGACGATCTGATAGAAAGATTGAGCACAAGAGGCCATAGGGAAAGCGAATTACGTACAATGTTAGTTCAGAGTAAAGACCGAATAGTTCACTCTGTAGAATATTGTCCCATCTCTAAACTGAATCCTAATTTGACTGAGGAAGTTGCCGAAGTGCGGAAATCTCAACGACAGAAGGAAGCAAATCAGTACAAGGATACTTTATTGGGCCATCCTGCTGACACTCCATTGGATGAAATCTTAGAGTTAACTCTTAGAGACTTAATTTTAGAGATGGAAGAAAAGATGTCTGTTGGTGGTCTGGGTTCTTTGAAAGTCAAGAACAGACAAGCTTGGCGAGATACAATTGCTGCTCGGGGTTATGACAAGGAATGTGACAAGCTGACATGGCCTGGCTGTGATTCAGATGCTTACAGTAGTTCAATTGTAGATAAAATTAAATCTGAACGATTTAGCAGGCCTGGAACGCCGGATTCTACTGCTAGCAGTAGTAGAGATATTAAAGACCCACATTGCTATGTAAGATTAGCATGTGAGGTAGCAAACTTAGGTAGTTGTGACATTAAACCAAAGTACTCATGCATCCGAAATTTGGCCTCTGCTATACTTCAAGTATCTCAAGGTGTTGATGATCGATACTTGAAGAAGCCTCTTGGTTTAAGTGACAAAGAAAAAGAGAAATCCAAAGAAAAACAAAGGAAGAATGAAGAACAGGAAGATGGTGAAAAGGAGAAGGCCAAAGAAAAGGAAGGTTTAACTGTTCTCCAGAAGTGGCAGGTGTCACTCATGACTTCAACAAGTTTTTCTCAGCTTTTCCTTCACCTCTCTACCCTTGGTAACAATCATTTTTACGTTTCACTGTGCATGCGAATTCCTTTGTTTCTTGCTTTGTATTGTGTGTGTTCCATCTATTCATTTATCATTTTTATTTGCAGATTCAAGCATCCAATGGTCAAAATCTGCTCTCAATGCTAACTGCCGGTTGTGTCGACGAAGAGGGGATCCAGACCAAATGCTTTTATGTGATGGGTGTAACAAGGGTCATCACATGTATTGCCTTAAACCTAAACTTACCGTGAGTTTTTTTCTCTCTTTCTATTTTGTTAGTAAGAGGACTTTGAATGAATGAACATGCTGATTTCATTAACTTACTTTCTCTTCTGCTTTGTAGAGTGTACCCAAAGGTGACTGGTTTTGTCCCACTTGTAAGCCAAAGGAGAAAAAGACACCTGCTAAAAAACCAAGGAAAGTATTTGATGATGATGAGGACAATTTGGAGAGCATACTGGAATCTGAAGAACAGTGAGTAATTTAAAAAAAAAAAAAAAATCTTAAACATGTATGAAATATAAACCTGGAGCATAATGATTTTCATTTCTCCTCTCCATGTTTTCAAGGATCGAAGTTAGTAAGGAGCCATGCAAATCATGTGGTAAGGATGGATCTGACCTTCAGTGTGAAAAGTGTAGCAAATGCTTCCACCTGTCCTGTGCTGAACCAAGACTGCGCAAAGCTCCTCGGGGAAAATGGACTTGTGAAAAGTGTAAAATCAAGGCATCCAGTAGTAAAAAACCAGGTAAGCTGTGCTTGTGAGGCTTTTCAATGTCTGCCAGTAGTGAAGCCAACGTCTTATTTATTTTCATTGAATCTGGAAAGGTGTCAATGAATTGTGTGCAATCAATAGTAGTTAGTTGTATCTTTACTGAGGGTGCTGGTGTTTGCAGCATGTATCTATCACTTTTCTCATTCTCGTTTCCTGTCATCCTCACTATGAGTGTCAGTTTCTTTGACAACTAGGAATTTAATTCTTGTACGCATGAATAGGGTTCTATTGGGTGATCATTTCATCATGACAGGAAAAATTATTTGCACACTAATGATAGAGGACACAATTTTTCTGTGTAGTTAAATTAATTGTGCTAACAGGTGATACACCACCCGGAGACCGCTCCATTATGAGTCGCAGGCGATGTGCGGCAAGAGCTATAGATAACATCTCCCGATTTGCCAAACAACTCCGCAACTCCAATGGTGATGGTTAGTAGTTGGATGTATTTTGTCGAAGGCATAGTTCTGGTTGATAGTCCATATCAGAGCTTTTTCAGAAGTCTTCCAAATTTTAGTAGGAATTTTTTAAAATTTATTTTTGGAGAAAATTAGTGTTATTTCCTTCTGAATTTCACCTACACAAATGAAAATCCAAAATATATCTCTTACTCTCCCCACTTTTGAGAATCTCAAGGACTCTGGTATCGTAACATTAAGCCAGGTTGTGTACTTGTATAGTACTTCCTGCTTGTGTACTGACTTGGGTTGTTGCGGGGCACAGATGACGACCATGAGGATCCTGAACCCGAAGTGGAGAATGATGAAAGTGAAGAGCGGCAACTCCACTCCCGCAGACGATGTGCGGTGAAGGCTGTTGCCAACATCTCAAATTATGCCAAACAACTACGGAATCAAAATTATGATGGTTTGTAAATTTCCTATCTTTTGAGTGCCGTCCAGGTGCATGTATTTCTTCGCTACATCGAAAGATTCCTGTCTACATTGGTCACAGGCCAAACATGCAATTCTGCTCTGATCCACTATGGCTTCAATTCTGGTGGGGCCCAAGCAGCTTAGCTGCAAGGGTTTCTGTGTTTCCATGTCACTTGGTTCTGCATGGTACTTTGTTTGTTCATTGCTTTTGCTTGGCTCTTAGTCAGCTTGTGACATGCGTGGTCCTGCTTGCCCCTTGCCCTGCGGGCCAGGTATCGCGGAGACATGCTTCTCGCGCTCACGTTGTCCTGGAGGCTGTGCTCTTTCCCCTGTGGAATCTGATGCCAGTTGCCAGACCCTGGAGACGGGGCGCGACCTGTGACTCTCGAGAGGCGCTACTCAAACCCCTTTCCTGCTTTGCACGCTCTAGGTCTAGGATGGCTAGGACCCATGGCGGGTGTCACGCGGGCTTCTGACCTGGCCGACGAGGGCGAGGACCCCGCTGGCTGCCTCGCTGCTCTGGACGGTTTCTCTTTATCTGCCCGTCCGATCATGCGGGAGGGAGCGGTGAACCTGGCACTCCAGGCTCCAGCCTCACGCCGTGGACGGATCTGCAGGTTGTGGCCCAACTGCCACACTTGAAGGACGCCTTCCCGCTGTCCGCTTCCCGCGTGGACCTGTCGCTGCTGTCGGCACCCTGCCTGTATCCTTGCTCGCATTTGCGTTTACACTTTCGCGACTCTTGGCCCCGTGATGGCGCTCTACTGCTACGTACCACTAAGACTAATCCATTCTGGGCCTGTGGCGGGGGGGAGGGGCGGGGTCGCAGTTTGAGGCCCCGATCCGGCCCGGATCTATGTGACTTTATCTATGGTGCTCCTCTTGTAACGTCTTGTCTTTCTTCTCCTTTGTAGAGCATGACTTTTGATATTTTGATTTAGTATAAGACCTCCTTTTTCGTTCTTTGGTGGTTTGGTTTGTGTTGTATGGTGTGTTGGTGTGTTTGATTTGGGATTTAATGCGGTCTTTATCTTATCATTCCTTTCTATGTTGGCAGTAGTTATTTCAACTTTATAGAATTTTTACTTCAGTAGGAAGTGCCAAAAAGTGCACTTCCATTGCAATCTTTTAACATTGTGTTAAATTTTTTCAGACGCTCTCAATGATGAAGGTATCTCTCGAAGACGCTCTCGCCGTTCATTGGATGTGGACACTGATGACTTGCCCCTTGACAATGCAGCCCTGCAAGAGCTTCTTGAGGAAATCATACGTCACAAAGATGCATGGGCATTTACCCGACCAGTTTTGAAATCGGAGGTAAAGTAAATCTTGTTTGGTGTAAGGTTTTTTATTTTTGTCAATATTTTGGAAACTTATTTATTGCCTTTTTCAGGTTCCTGACTACCATACTATTATCAAGCGTCCAATGGACTTTGGAACCATTCGGCACAAATTGAATGTGTTGGATTATCGAAATACTAGTGAAGTCTTAGCTGATGCCCTGTTGGTCTTTGAGAATTGTGACATGTACAATCAACCAGATACAGATGTCTACAAGTAAGTCGTTTGTTTAGCTGAGTAATGCTGTAAAACTGTTAACTGAACACTGTAATTCTTATCCTTCTCCTCACCAATTTTACAGGTCTGGTGTGAGGCTGAGAAAATTCTTTGACAAGAAGTGCAGAGAAAAGAATTTGCGCCTTAGGGAAGAAGATGTGAAGATGCCAGATGCTAAGAAGAAAAGGTCCAGTCCCTAACAACTTTTTAGTTTTAAATTGAAAATACACATAGCTCTCTCTTTTTCTCATCTCCCTGTATGCACACATCTTCAACTCATTCCATCAGGCTTGTGGTTATGTTTCTGAATTATTACTATGAACTGAATGAATGTGCTTTTGTGTGTTCGTGTGCAAATGTATAAGTGCAATCAAGCCTGAGTGTAGTATCTTGCAATTTTGAATGTGGAATACTCAATTCACCCCACTTCTTAAAATTTAAGTTAATTTATAGATTGAATTCCTATGAGGAGAAGATTTAAAGTTATGTCTCTAGGAAAGGTGTACTTAAAGCAGAGACTCCAATAGTGTTTCTTCACTTATAGCGGAAAGACGCTTGTATTATATTATTGATAGATTGGACTTCATTGTACCATATTGTAACTGGTTTTCCAAAGTATGCGTGGTTTTTAAAATTATTAGTATTTATGACAACAGTTTATGAGTGATAAATTGCAATTACACATGTTGATTTGCATAAACGATTTTGTAAGGAAAATGAAATGAAATGGCAACAACATGTGTTAACATTGTAAACCTTTGCTACCTGTTTTAGTTAAAAAATTTGCTTTCATTTTGGAAAGAGCTTTTTATTTAATTTTTGTCTCTAACTATGAAAAAAAACAACTTGAACCCAGTGTTAATCAATTAGTACCTTATAATATTTTATGACTAATTCTAGTTAATGAATCTTCATTGTAGTGTTCATTATTGTCCCAAGTATCATCAAGTTAAAGGGGTCATGCATATTTATTCTTTGTTTCACAGATTGATTAACTAGATAAACAATTGTATTATTTTTGACACTTTTCCGTTCGATATTTAATTTGTAGTTTTATTGCAGTGAGATTGTGTTTGTTGCTTGGCAAAAAAAACCAATTTAAAATGCAAAATAAAATAAAAATTTGTAAAGAAAATCTTTGAAATTGATTCTATTACCTGAACAATCCTGATTTAAAATAGATGCAGTATCTGCAGTACATTATTAACTCTCATTCTCAGAATGAATTAACACAAGTGGAATACACCATCCGTTGTCTTCGGCCTTCAGGATAGTAGCTGATAGTAACCAGAGAGTAGACTGCATGTGTAGAGGGTGGGGATGGCAGATGCTATCACAAGGAAGGAAGGGTAATCTGAAATTCGCAAGCACGCGAAAAAATTACGGAAACACTTGGTGGTTTGTGCACCTTGTCGAAGACCTTCCCTCACGAGAGTGACGGGGTATCTCCGCTTCCCACCCCCACCCCTGAGACCCGGAGTATCGCCACGCTCGACGGCAGCCGCCGCCACGGCAGATACTAGGAGGCGCTCGCGACAAGAGTATCTGCTCAGTGCTCCGCCTCCCCTCCGCTCGTCGTGACGCGACGCGACGCGGCGGCCTGCGCTGCATTTCCCGGCGCGTTCGCGTTCGCTCGGTGTGTGTGGCACACTGTGTGCGATACGACGAGACGCGATACGGGCGTGTGGCGTGCATCCTCGCGGCCCTCGTCGGGGCGTCGCCGTGGGCCTCCACTCCACCGGCAGGCAGTCCGGTAGGCAGCAAGCCGCCGCGCGGCCGCGCCGTCCGGGGAAGACCGGGGAAGGACCCGGCCCGGCGTGGAGCGCGTCCGCGCTGTGGCCGCGGCTGGCGACTGCGCTCGGCGACGCGGGCGACCTCTGGCGGCGGGGCCAGGGCGGGGCGCGGGCTCGGGGCGGCTGGGCTCTAACAATCAGTCACCAGTCCGACACCTGGTCGCGACGCGGTAGCGCGGACGGACGGACGAGACACTCCACCCTCCCCGCGTCGACGTCGAGGCGTCGAGGGTCAAGGAGGCCGCGAGCGTCAACAGAGCGGCCGCCGAGTGCAGTGGGGCAGTGTGCCGAGCGCGCCGAGTGGCGGTGAATTGGCGGAAGTGGAAGTGGATGTGCGATTAGGGTCGGCGTGAAGCGCCAAGTGAACTTGACTGTCCTTTTCAAGAGGCTGCCCGCCGTCGCGTCGCCGCCCACGAAGTGCCACGAAGTGCTACGAAGTGGCCGCTGACGCTGGGCCCCGCCGGGGCTGGGGCCGGCCGAAGCAGGCCGAAGCAGACCGCGTGCTGCCAGGGCCGCCAAGTCGCCAATCAAAGCGCCGTAAAACTTGCAGCAGCGGCATCATCCTCATCGCCACCGTCAACAAGCCGGGCCTCTGCGTGTGATTCGCAGCGCGGAGGAGGACTGTGCGAGGGGTGTGCGCGAGTGTTTGTGGGTGCGTGTGTGTGTGTGCGTCGCCGAGTGTGCCGGAACGGCGCTGGACCCCGTGGCCCCAGGGGCACAGCCGGCACAGCCGATCGGCGCGCTGCGCACCTGCGGAGTGCTGCGGAGCCAAGCGAGGTGCGCCTCCCGCCGCGCCGACGCCCTGAATAAGCCCAAGACCGGTGCTTTGATCTCCGAGGGAGGCGGCGCCGCCGAAGACCCTCCCTAGGAAGTACACCAGAGGGCGGAGACGGAGACACAAAACAGAGAGCGTCGCCGGCAAGGACAAGGAGCGCGTCTGGCCGCTGCGGCCGGTTGATGCTGTGGCTGCGCGGGCCTTCCTTGCCCATGGAGGCAGTCGTCAGCCGCTTCAAGAAAAAGCGCAGCAGAGCGTCGACGGAGGTAGGTGGCGCTCCGATACGGAACACGGTCAGAAAGGTCGTGTGCTGATGCAGTGTGGTTCACCTCCCCTTCCCAAAAAATAAACAAAAGCATCAACAGCAAAAACGATGGTGGCCATTGATGACCCCATGGTGTTGCCGGCAGTTACAATTAGGTCAGTTCATTAGTTGGCTCTGCCAGGCTCTGCCTTACACGTGCGGAAAGAAGGCTGATTCCGCTGTGCGTTTCGTCGCTCTGTCTCTCTCGCACCCGAAGGAGGAGCCCCGCGAGTGCGAGAGAGACAGAGCGACGACGGCGATGAGTGGAATCGCTCTGCCGGCGGAACAAACTGGCACTCTGGGAATGCCCCCAGGATCTGCCGATAGACCGATCGAGGCTTTTGGCGACGTCGTCAAGGACGTCCCGCAATAAAAAATAAAAATTAAAAATAAAGTAACCGGATGGGTTTGTCTCGGTTTGTCTGGCGCTCATTCGGCCGGATTTGGCGGGGAAGATAAATTCCGCGGTGTGCCGTTATCGGCATGATGCGTACTGCGTCTCCTCCTCACCTCCCTCGGCGTCTAATTCTCACGGAAGAGCCGCGAAGCCCTGGCACTGGCAAACGAGGTCGATGCCGCCATGGGACCATTTGGATTTGATGAGGCCAAACGTCTAGGTCGGGTTCCGTTGACGTCGCGCCCCGCCCCGCCCCGCCGCACTGCCACTCCGTACGCGGTACGCCCTCATTCGACGCCGGCCCGCGGTGATCAGGAAGGGAACACAAAGAGGCGGAACTTGCTGCCTTTTTTCGCCGCCGCCGCGGACACTTAAAGTGTGCCGCCATTCGGAGCACGACGATGGGTGCGTCGGCGGGGTGCATCACCGGGGCGGAGACCACGCCGACCACGCCCACTGCGGCAGCGTCCCGTCGCTCTGTCTCCCTCGCACCACTACGCGACCTACGCGACGCACCCCACGAGTGTGAGAGAGACAGCCTGCAGAGGGAGCTCACGGCTGGCTTGCGGCGAGACGCACCGGCACCCCCCCCCCCCCTCCCCGGACGCGCCCGCAGCAGCGAGGGTAGGCAAGCCGCCGCGCGGGCGGGTCGGGCACGGCGTGGTGGTTGCCTACACTGCCGCTGGCAGGCGCTTTTTCATCTGCGCTCCTCTTGATCTCGCGCCTTGCACGCCTTGTGTTTTGGTCTGGGTCGGCGCCGGGCGGCCGGGCGCGCGTCAGATAGTGTAGTAGTTTGGCGCTTTTGGCAGCGATCTCGCTTGGCTCGTTTGCCCGTCGGCCATGCTGCCACACTGCCATGCCAGCAGTGCGTCGTGGGGCGGCGAGGAGCCACGGATCCGCACGGAGCCCCCATGCGGACTTATAGCAGATTAGTCGGCCTAGGCCCCCCAAGGCACCCCTTCGCTCTAGATTCGCTGAGCCGACCGGCATTCTTCTGGCCAGTACACTGTCATTTCGTCCGCCTTCCGGAAGGAGGACACACTGTCATCATTTTTTACGAGTGTGCACTGCTCACAGGCATTTACAGTGTAGGCGAGGCGGCGAGGTGGGGCGGATGTAAACAAGACGGCGACGCATTCCCGATGCAAATTGACAACCGGGGCGATCGGCGGTCGCGGGGGTCAAGGCACCGCCAGGGACGAAAATACTCCCAGCGGCCGCGACTAACTGGCTTTCTTTTCGTTTTCGGATCTCACTGTGTGCTCTGTTCTCGATTTCTGCTGCTTGAATAACGCAAGAGAAAATCCACCCCGTACGCTTCACTTCAGCCTGAAGTCTATTCAGATCCGCCAGAAACCGGTACACCAAAATGCACTTCGTAATAAAAAAACTGTCTCGAATCCACATCGACTTCTCGCTCTCGAGTCGAAGGAATCTCGGCCCAGCCACGAGGCGCCGGCAATCCTATCGTAACACTCTCTCCTCCGCACTTGAGGCACGCATTATCTTGCGTATTATTCGACGCTTAGTCGCGCGATAAGATTTGTTTTGACACTTCCTTAACGTGGCCGCACCAAGTTTGGAAGTTGCAGAGCGTCGCTCTGCCTGCGCTTCGCGGCTCGCGGCTCGGAAAAAGGGGGAGGGGGGATTTGCGGCCACGCAAAGGAGCAGGGGTGACAGGGCACCTGGGCGGAGAGGAGGGGGAGGGGAGGGGCAGCAGCTAGACACGAAAAGCCGCAGGCGAGCGATTCTGCACCCAGCGGTGTCGCACTAGCTCTGTCCCTCTCGCACTCATGCTGGCTCACCCGGCCCCGTGGGGGTGCGAGAGAGACAGAACGCAGCCCTCCGTGGCTTAACCCACGATTACTCCGACCGCGAGGCCGCGAGTGAGGCCGAGGCTGGCTGGCTGGCTGGCTGGCCGGCTGGCGCTATGGCCCCAAGCACCGCCTTGTCTATCCTTGTCTACCCCGGGGCGCTGCTCGGTTGCCGTGCCCTGTACAGCCTCCCCAACAAATTCCAGCATTTAGAAACAAGAAAAAATGGGGTCAGAACGGGGGAGGGGAGGGGAGGGGCAGAGGGGCAGGGGTAGGGGGGAGACTTCCGGGAGGCATGTGAGTCCCGGACTGGGCGGTGGCTGGACCCTTCCCCTTCACAAGGGGCGAGGCTGACCACCGTCGCGTTGGTCTGGCCTGGGCCTACAGGACCTGCTTCTTTTCTTTCAAAACACATTCGAATCGAATGAGTACAGTCTCCGAAACATGGACGGATCACCAATTAAATGTTTCGTTCGTTCTGTTGGTTCTGTTCTACCCGCGGCGGAGGCTCAAAGTTATCCTGTTGGCTGACGGCATCACATTGCCTCTATGTACACACAAATCTTAAGTTCAATTAGTTTTTGGCCGAGTCATTCGCTTTGCTTCGCTTCGCTTCCGTTGCCGTTGTTGGACCGCGCACGGCGGCGCGCGTTCGGGGCGCGTTCTGGACAAACACCGAGAATCACGCTCTCGCCCCCGCCCACGCACGCACTGTGCATAATTCACCGCGCTGCCACAAGTGGTTGCCGCGATCGTGCACGCCGCAGCATCGCCAGGCCTCGGGCGCCCGGGAGGGGAGAAAGAGTGCTCGCGGATCACTTCGGATTTCCATCTCGAGTGGGGCGGCTGGGCTAAAAATGGGAACATCCCCCGACCCCGACGCGCGCGTGCTGGACGAAGGCCGCAGAATAATGTCCAGCACACCGGCGTGTTTGTGTGCGTGTGTGTGTGTGAGCCGTTCCGAGCGAGAGAGACAGAATGCTGTGCGCGGACTGTCTGCCGGCCGCGTGACGGGGTGCTAAACGCCGCGGCGTCATTCTCCGTCATACGGATGGCGATGGCACTTTGTGTTATTGACAGCAATTAATGAGCGCGCTCTCTCTCTCCCTCTATTGGCTGTGACTGCTGCGCCGTGGCGGGCCAGCTGCCCGGGAGAGCGCTCGGGGCACCGCGGCAAGGCACGGCCACACGGCACCACCACGCTGCTCGACGGCAAGGTGCAGCGACGCGCCGGAAGTCCAAGCCGGCGGAGGTCGAAGAACCTCGGGCCGGCGAACTCCCGCCAGAGCAGACAGCCAGGCAGTACACACACAAACACACATGCGCTCTCTCTCTCTCTCTCTCTCTTGGCCGTTTTCGAAACTACTACGGTGCGATACTCGTCAGGTCGCTTTCCGCCGCGTTTCGCGCAACAGTCCCGTTGGACGCGTCTGTCGAGCGAATTCAGAAGAGTCTGTTTTCGTCGCTCTGTCTTCCTGGTTCCTGGCGCGTGCCGCCGACGAGTCGCTCCTGCCGCTTATCGGCGTTACAACACTCTCCTGGTTTTGGCGACCGCGACCAGCAGGAATGTCCGCGAAAGCGGCCGCGGCTTGGCGAGGCTGCAGACTCACTCCGAGACTCGTCTTCGTCGCTCTGTCTCTCTCGCACTCATGGGGCGCCCCGTGTCGGCGCCACACGCCCACAGGCCTACCGGTTTGCCGGCTACCCAGCCGCCTGCCGGTCTGCCGGGGCGCTCCGAGCTGCTCCTGCGGCAGCGAGGGTCACTTTTCATTAGATTCCCCCTTCTAACGTGGCGCCAGGCGGGGTGTGGCGTGGCGGGGTGTGGCGTGGCGGGGCGGGGCGGGGCGGGGCGGGGCGGGGCGGGGCGTGGCGGGGCGTGGCGGGGCGGGGCGTGGCGGGTGCGGAGGCGGCGGCCCGGTGTGTATCCACCGCTCGCCTCCGTGTCACTGGGTTCATGCCCAATGACAACATGATAAGCGCATTTGCTAAACAGTGAAAATTCTCTGAGGGAAAACTTCGGAGTAGAGCTCTCACTCCTACACCCTCAAATTAGCGTCGAAATATTCAATACTCAGCGACAACGAATGTCAGCATCACGTAAAGTCGTCATTTGATACTTCACGAACCAACCAAAGTCGAAGGCACTGAAAGTTTTCCAGCCGAGCAACTTTCCACGTGTAGCTACGGCCTTTGTTGAAATTCTTTTATTTTGTTTGCGCGCGAATTTTGTTTGGCCGTGTCTCCGCGCTAACACGCTGACTTTGCCACACAACGGAACCAAAACAGTCCGTGCGCCGCGCGCCCAGACGCGCAGGCAGCCCTGCTGCCGCTCTGGTAAAGGAGAAGTTAAAAGCCACACGCAGCCTCCCTGGCGGGTGGGCTGCCGCCGTCCACCACACTGTTCGGCGATCATCGTCCATTCCCGCACAAAGTGATTCGTCTCTCTGTCTCTCTCGCACACAACGCCGCTCGAGTGCGCGAGAGAGACGGAGCGGCGTTTGGAGGAGGAATTGCCCGCCCTGAGCCGCGCCGCGCCTCGCAGCCTCGCGGTCCCCAAAGTCAAAAAGAGCGAGTCGGAGAACAGTGAGTTCGACAATAATAATTCATCACTTTTTGTTTCATTGAATCTGCTTCGAAGGCGTATGGCGCGGGAAAGTGTGCAAGCGGCGGCCTATCACACCGGTAAAAGCAAAAAAAAAAAAAAAAAAAAAGCGAATGAATGGAAGTTTTTAACGGTGAGTATGCGTAGAG